GACGAAGTTTCTTTGAAGAGCAATGTTCAATATATCGAGAGAAAAGATAAAATCACAAGTCTTGTTGACAATGGGCAAAACAGGAAAACTGAATTTGCAGATCATGCTCAAGTCTTTATGTTACGTGGCTTAATTTATAATTATAAGCAGGCAATATCATATACATTCGCGTCGAGTGCTACTAAGGGACCTGAACGAGCTCAACAAATAAAGGACGTGATAAGAGGTTTGCAAGAATCAGGGTTCATAGTTGTTGCTACTGTATGTGACCAGGGTCCTAATAACAGACAGGCTCTGAAACTGTTAATTAATGAGAACAGGGGAATTTATTTGAGAAAAGGTGAAGAGCCTAAAGAAAATAAAATTTTAATAAATGGTCAAGAAATTGTACCACTTTATGACCTGATGATGATGACACTGATGACATCTCCTCAAAGGAATTAGAAATAACTTTATGTGCAAAGATTTAGAATTCACCAAAGATGGTGTAACAAAAATTGCAAAATGTTCGCATTTAAATTTACTTCTCAAAGAAAACCCTGGTTACAAAGGCATTAGGTTGATTCCAAAATTAATGGAATATCATATCAACCCTCTAAAAATTAATAAAATGAAGGTTAAATTTGCCTCACAAATATTCAGTCGTACTATGGCGTCTAATATGGGATACTTGGCAGGTAATGTATGTTTTATTTATTTATTCAAACTTCATGCACAAGGCGGGTACATAGGCGGACTTAATGCCTAAGGCATTTTCTACCAGTCGAGCCTTGGGTGATGCAGAGCTGTGCCGGTGCAAGAAGCAAAGCAAACAGACTTTATTTTATATGAGTCAAAACGAGATAGATACATATATATGTGTGTGTGTGTGATAGATACATATATTTGTTTTTTTGTATAACTAGAATATGCAACAAGCGAATGTGCTATTCCGGAAAATCTAATATCTCACGAAAGTGTTATAATCAGTCACGTTTTGAAAAAATACTTGTTACGTGTTTGAAATCAATTGAAGTAGTTTGCAAAAATAAATATAATTCAGAACTTTAGGCGATTAAACTGTCATACAATTTTTTTTTTTCAGGTAAGAACATACTTCCCGCTGAGTGTAAGGACACCGCTGATTTACTGCTGTTCATGGACAATATCTTTGACTCCGTGAATGGCAGTCGACAGAAAAATAGAAATGCAAAACCCTTACTAGGGCCAGCAACGCCAAACTCGGCACATCACCAAATTTGGATTGAGGGAGTACAAATTTTTAAATCGATGAAATTTGTATCGAATGGTAAAAAACAATCGGTTCCCTCCATTACCAATTGGGTGTGGACACTGAGTAGAATAAATAAACTACAAAATGAGTTTAACGTGTCGTCAGTGTGGTTGCGGCATCTTAATCAGGACCCCTTGGAAAATTTCTTTGGGGCGGTAAGAAGCCAAGGGTGCCGCAATACTAATCCCACCTGCGACCAATTCGAATCGGCTTTCACCACATTATTAATAAATAATATAAGCAGTGTCCACACCCGCGGAAACTGCGAAAAAGACTTTTGCGATGCATTGTATTCTCTCACCATCAACGAAAATGCAGAAACAACGTCAACCTGCTCATCGTTTGATTTTTCAAACATTATTGAATTTAATTTTACACCTATAGAAATTAAAGAAAGGGATCCCCGTATTGTTGGACCTCTCCAATACAGGGTGTAAGGGACAGCCTTCCGCAAACTGATAGGGTGGATTCAGTATATCGTCTTAAGTTGACCGGTACATGAAATTATTTCAGGAACGTTATGGGAATCCAATTAAACCGATTTGTTTCATTACCTTACACGCAATGTATCGCTACCACCGCAAACGCACGCAGCGAACGGCAGCGCTTTTAGTATTATTACTTTACACTATGGGCAGCGCCGCGACCTTACGTTCAGACAAACGGTCGCGCTCGCGCCACGTTTTAATAACAATAAATTATTATTTAAAAGATAGCCGCATTACTAACAAAAGAAAATCTAACAATCATAACATGGTAACTGATAAATGATAAAAAAAGAAAAATGCGTAGGTACCTTAGAATCGCTCCGGTTTCCGGCTCTGGAAAGCATTTGTGATGCGGTCTCGCATTTCGTACTCACTTGCACACGCACTCACAAACACTTTTTCTTTTACGTAACCCCACAAAAAGGGGTCCAAATGGGTTACGTCTGGGGATCGTGCTGGCCACGGTTGCGATCCAAACCTACCTAAACTACGTTTAAATAGGAAAGCACTGGTAAGTGGTAGCGTCTCGTTACGTTAGCGAACCAATTCCAAAATCCACGTAGGTATTGGTCTTCCGGCGCCTTTTTGTCTGGGAACAATGGGCTGGTTTTCTAGCAAGCGTTGATAGTCACCAGTAATTATCCTGGAGTCTAATGGATGCCGACGGTCAGGATACCTACACTACTACAACACATTATCATCTCCCCATAATCACGCGCGCTAAACGTACCTAGGTAGTAATTTCGCACAATTTCTACAACAAAACTTCACTACACTTCACACACTACATAACTAATAAAACTTAACAACACTACTTATAATAAAACTTTTAAGCCGAATGCGCGAGCGATCCGTACCAACACACGCTCGCGGAACACAAACAGTAACATCGCAGCAAGGCACAATGGCGACTGCATGTGATGAGACACACACAAACATAAATCTGTTGTTGCCAATTACACGAAAATTAGGTACAAAATTTCGGGGTAAAAAATAAAAAAAACTATGCATGGTCGTAATTTATCATTCTGTTATTTTTTGTAGAGAAATGAATTGATTAAATCAATTTAATTCTAATTTAATTGTTTAGTTAATTTAGAATAATAAAAGTGCAGTGTGATAGAAAGCTGTGCTTCCATTCCAGGGAGATTGTGTTTAATTTCTGGCTCGACTATCAATTCATGGCTATTGTGAAGCCATGTAAATCTGTAAGTAGTTTAAAAACTAGCCATTAATCGCTTAAAAAGAACAATCAATTAATAAATTAGGTAGTATTTGTAAATGCTTTAAAATTAAAACTAGACTAATCTTTATTTATTTTTTATTCAATTTATGTGCGCGACAAGATTTTCATTAATTGATTAATGAAAATCTCATCAATGTGATTATGAATGCAAAGGAGTTCTCAAGTTTTAGATAAATTTCGATAGTTCTAACATTTTCGTTTACAAAGGTAGAAAGAGAGAAAGGTAGAAGAGGTAACAAAAGTTAAAAGTTGGCAACACTGGTTCAATCGACAGAAAGGGACGCAGCTATTCTGTACGTTGGACGGGATCGTAGGTATACCTACGGCGATCGGCGCGGTGGGGCGCCGAGCCGCTGCGCCGTGACCGCGGTGCGGTGAGTTCAAACGACTCGCGCTAGGTAGAAATTGAACAGCTGATTTCATGCGTAGTTCTTTAGAGAATTCACACAACCATTGCGTATTTTTTTGTTTTATCTGTGTTATTTACATTAATGTTATTCTTCATACATAGAATGTAATTATACATTGAAATAGAGGTGTAGGAACTGAAAAAACGAAAAAAAAATTGAAAATTTTCCTGAAAGAATTTTCACTGGAATATGATTCAAAATAAGGAGCTGAATGCACCCTGTTAATTTGTGGAGGGCTGTCCCTTACACCCTGTATATAAGTGGATATTTTTTGAAGAAAATTAAATCTAAAATATTTAAAACTTGTACAGATTGTTGTAACCTATTAATGGAAAAAAATGAAATTGAGTATATAAAATATAGGGAATACGCAGGTCGACGATGGCTTTGCACTCCCAGCAAGAAGTTAATAGAGCTGATTTCCAATATGCAAGATTTAATCAAACAAAAGAAAATATAGAAAAATTATATTTAAAGCTAATCATTAATACAGCTGTTAGTAGTTTTATTGATTTTACATTTATAAAATGTATAATAGAGAAAAAATAATCGATTTTTTAATTAATATTGTTATTAGATTTATAATTTTTAATTACTGTAAAAATATCAATATAATATTAGCTGGGAGAAAAGATGTTGATGATGATGAGAACAAATTGCAAGTTAAAGCTAAAAAGTTAAGCGAGTACTATAGAAAAAACAAATAAACTAGATTTTCATCAAATATGTTGTTTCATTTATACCTCTTTTTGTTGTAGCAGTAGATAGTGTAATTCACTATAAGAATTGTAAAATATTTAAAGTGAATTACACTGTCTACTACTCGTTTCAGTCACGTAGTTGAGCAGTAACGAAAAACAACCAACAATCTATAGATGCACATCCATAGTATAGATATGGTTATATATATAATAAAAATGTTGTCTAACATGGATTACAGATGGCGCTGTTAGTAGTTACCCAATTTGACATCGAAGATTGGTCTCTATTTCCTATTGTTAAAATGTACTCTGTGACTGAATTGCCGATTCTACATAGTCAGTTTATGCTCTATTCTACTACTGAAGAGTGGAACAGCAATATAGTGTGTCTCTATCACTTCTTTATTGACCCGCCCTTCTTATCATTCATGTTATCAAATGCGCGCGCATCTTAAATTGTAGAAAGCATCCATTTCACCTATCTATATTTTGTTATTTATAGAAATTATTACGTATTTTCAATCATAACAAATATAATGATTCACCTTAAATTTGAAGACAATTACTTCAGAATTTTATTTTTTGACGGCTTTAGTTCGAAAAGCTGATAGTGAGTGACATATATTTTTTTATTTATTTATTTAGATATGTGATATTGTTTCATAGACAATGGTCCATACAGACTCGACTTGGTGTACTAACACTAATACACGTTTTCACCAGTTACGAAGAATCTCATATCATTGGTTGGTACAACTACTAAATAACACAATTTTAGGAGGTTTGTCGTACTTTTTTTGTAAATATAAATGATTTGATTGGTAAATGTTAAATATTTTTGTTCGTGTAACTAAGCACGAAAATCTTCGACAAGGTCGACAGTTCTCATTCAACTCTTTAGTCTACGGTTCAACATGGCTCTCAAAGCACTTGTCGGGCAAAGTGAGTTAAAAAATTATATTTCTAACAAGGTTTAAAGCCTTATAATACTGTATAACTACTTTATTTTGAAGTAGAAATAATTCGTGTGTAACATGATATATTTTTGCTATGTATTGACAATTTTTTCCTATTATTTCTTTCTATCAACAGATATCAACTTATCGATGACTAATAGTTCTATGTGTTTTAGTTGAATTATTTTGATATTTTTTATCTGAAATTCCATGGGAGTGAGACCAACAACCTTGATTTAAGTTTGAGGTTTGGTTCAATTTATCGTCATGTAAACAAAGGATTTCAATAGACTTGTTAGAATTTAATTGGTACCTACAGGAAGAATATTAAGAAAAATACCAAAACAAAGATAGCTAGATGCAATGTACAGTCGTATAAAAAAAGCATTTTGTTAAACGAAATTACGTGAAAGGGCAGAAAAGGCATAGCGCGATTATTGATTTTCTTGTGTCACTTCAGCTAAGGGGGTGGGGCGTGGGGTGCTACGTACGTCATGAAGCGATCTTTCAGACCCGTACCCTTTGTTTCAGGAAATACCATTTCCAATTGAATGCTTCATTCAGTTCTGTCTGATGCAATTTGAATTCCTCTTATGAATCATAACAATGTAGTGAAACCTTAACTGACCCAAAATCAGAATGTTTCATTTTCACAAAAATGTTAGCTAATACAAATTCTACATTTTATCGTATAATTCGTGAATCATGTTAAATTGTGTCCCTAGAATGTTACCCTTAATGGCAATCTTTATCCTTGAAAGTTGGTTACCTCCATAGAATTATAATTGGATTGCTCTAACAAAAACAAGTCAAAGGTGTTTACTTTGTTCTTTTTCGATAAAATAAACATTCCTAATATTATGTTACATTATTACAGTTATCAAATAAAAATATTATTTGAGTGAAATTATATAAAGTTTCTTATAAAACAATTAGGAAATCAATACTGATTTGGCTATTCTATAATACATACTTTTATTAATCTTGTCTAAATTGTGTAATATTCTTATTACAGAGATTATGAATGAGGTGATCCGGTATCGGTCAAAAGGAAAAGATAAAATAGAATGGCGAGTCCTAGTGGTAGACCAGTTATCCATGCGAATGGTGTCAGCATGCTGCAAAATGCATGACATCTCAGCTGAAGGCATCACTTGTAAGTAATTTTATTACAATTTTATACCAGCTAATCTGAACAAATCTTAAACCTAACAGAGTAAGTGAAAGTGTTAAAACTAAAGATGGTTTTACCATCTGTAATTTTACCATATAATTTATATTTGAAATATATAATTACTACAAAATTACGAAATAAAAATCTAATGACTAAATATTTCATACAACTTCAGTGGTGGAAGACATCCACAAGAAAAGAGAGCCACTTTGCACCATGGACGGCATATATCTCATCACTCCGTCTGAAAAGTCAGTACATGCTCTCATCAATGACTTCTCTGTTGGAAACCGCATCATGTACAGGGCTGCACATGTCTTCTTCACTGAAGGTAAGTTCTGCATTATGTTTCAGGCTAAGCATCATAATAAAGTATTTATAAACTACATTAGAAATAAATATTTATTCATATTGCTAATGTAGGTTTTCATTGTATTGCGCTTTATCTTTTATTTGCAAATTATTTTTTATTTTACAGCTTGTCCTGATGCACGTTTTGATGAATTATCTCGTAGTCCTGTAGCTAAATATATCAAAACATTAAAGGAAATCAACATTGCTTTTATTCCTTATGAACAACAGGTTTGTCAAATTTCATTGTTTATTGACAAGGGAGAACTGGTCTTGCTAAAGTAGAACGCACTCCAATAACGAAATCTAATCAATGTAAACATGCATGAATCACTATTCAGTTAAACATGACATCAGTTATTAAAGATGGGCAACAACATAAATTATTCATTTTATTATTGAAATTTCAAATTCTACTTTAGTCTTAATAAGATGAAGTTCTACCTTAACACTAATGTTTGTTATAATTGTTACACGCTGCCACTAATTAGTATGTCCTGAGGAATTGTTCAATGAACTCTGCAAGTCATCTGCAGCAAGAAAGATAAAAACTTTGAAGGAAATCAACATTGCTTTCTTGCCTTATGAGAGTCAGGTTAGTAAGGATCCCCTAACCCTAAAAACTGTGGTATCTCTATACTGTAGAAGTAAGTACATAATAGAATTTCATATGATCATAGGACCTGTTTCTCAATGACAAACTGCATTTTGACTTTTTTTAAATATTTTTTATGTGTTTAGGTGTTCTCTCTGGATTCGCCTGAGACATTCCAATGCATGTACAACCCAGCCCTGGCTCAGACTCGCAATGCCAACATGGAGCGCATCGCTGAACAGATAGCCACCCTATGCGCTACTCTCGGAGAATACCCCTCAGTCCGGTACCGCAGGTAATATCAAATTATATTGGGTTTTATTTATGAGTTGCATTAAAGAAAATCAACAACATTCCAACTAGACTATATAATGTAGTATTGTTATCCATCAGTGTTTGTCATTGAAGTTAGGGGCTGAGAATAAGCCCGAAACATTATCGTAACTTTTTAAAAGAAATATTTTAGGTATAAGCGGTCGTCCGCGCCCGCGGCTACGTCCGCGTGTATGTCGATTTTAAACTTTTTCAAGTTCCCGATTTTGTGTTGAAAAATTTTCTGATTTTTCTTTGCTTTAAACCTCACGAAGCCCGAGACCTTTCCAACGAAAGCAATAACGTGGAAATCGTTTCGTGTGTTCTGGAGTTATAGCGTCAGGAAAGAAAACCCGACTTATTTTTAGAATATAGTAGATAGTATGCTCGTTTACACAACATGTTTGTATTTAATTTTTAAAAATACGAATGCATTATGCTATTTGGTATTTCATTTTGACATTACCATATAGTATATGATACAGTATAGCCAGCCTATTTCTGCCTGTAGTATTAAATAAATAACTTCAAACTTCAATAAAACAATTTTTATTTTCATTCCAGTGACTGGGAACGCAATGTCGAACTCGCTCAACTGATCCAACAGAAGCTTGATGCATACAAGGTGATCATTTTAATTTTTAATCTATCCAAATCCAAATCAGAACAAGTTATTTGGTAAATAATAAGACTTAACTACAATAAATGTCTACACTACCCACACTAACTATATCATATTATTATACTGTATGTATTAATATGTTTCTGTCTGCAGGCCGACGAGCCGACTATGGGCGAGGGACCAGAGAAAGCTCGCTCTCAATTGCTGGTAATTGATCGTGGATTCGACTGCGTATCGCCCTTGCTGCATGAGCTGACTCTTCAGGCGATGGCATACGATCTCTTGCCTATTGAAAACGATGTCTATAAGTGAGTCACTTAATTATTATTATTATTATACTTGAACACACTAGCAGCTTAGAAAGCTGATGCGTGCGTATTAATGGATTTGGAGATTTTGTCGAGTTTGTTTTTAAAAGAATTAATGAAACGAATTTACTTTTACCTTCATGTATTTTCAAGATAATTAATTGTAGTAGTTTTATTCAGAAGTGTTCTAATAACATAGTTATTTTTTCTCAGATATGATTCATCTGGAAACATGAAGGAAGTCCTGCTGGATGAGAACGACGAGCTGTGGGTGGAACTGCGACACCAGCACATTGCTGTTGTATCTACATCTGTCACCAAGAACTTGAAAAAGTTTACTGAATCCAAACGCATGGGTGGAGGTAACTATCTAAGAGCTATTAATTTTATGTTAATTTTCTTCTTACCATGTGGGACTCATAAAATTAGCGCCTCTGTATGAATAAATGAGGAGAAATATCGATTTTATTTTTGCGGTTTTAAATATTTCAGTGTTCAATGAACTTATATTCTAGTTCTGTAAAGTCTTTGTATGTATTTTAAATGCTTTAAACGGTCTATAGGTGACAAGCAGTCCATGCGCGATCTCTCCCAGATGATCAAGAAAATGCCTCAGTATCAAAAGGAGCTCTCGAAGTATGCCACACATCTGCGCCTCGCTGAAGACTGCATGAAGGCCTATCAAGGCTATGTCGACAAATTATGCAAAGTCGAGCAGGTAAAAAACTAAGAAGTCAAAACTTCTGCAATATGACCTGCTTACAATTAAATTTAAAAATTCTGTTAAAAGTGTGGATTTAAAATTATTTCGTTTTCTGATTCCAGGATCTCGCTATGGGCACTGACGCTGAAGGCGAGAAAATTAAAGACCACATGAGGAGCATTGTGCCTGTGCTTCTTGATCAGGTATTGAATCCTATTTGTTAGATCTTGTATCTTTAAACTTACATGAATCATATAAATTCAATTGACTGCAAATCACACAAATTATTGTAGAAAAAATCTACTAGTTTCAAAGCTGTAGCATGCTCTGATGCAAATATATTTCAACTAATGAAGATTACATATAATATAGAAGCACATACATTTAATTATAATATTTTTATAATACAGGCTGTGATTAACTTCAACAAGATGCGCATCATCGCATTATACATCATGTCCAAGAATGGCATCTCGGAAGAGAACTTAAACAAATTGGTTACACATGCGCAGCTTGAACCCTCCGATAAGCAGACCTTGCTTAACCTTGCCAACTTGGGACTCAATGTTGTGGTGGACGTAAGTACCCTCAAAATAAAATCAGGTTTATATGCAGAAAAAAGAAAACACATTACTGCATTATCTAATTTTAATATTTTATTTCATAGGGTAACAGAAAAAAGCAATATCAAGTACCAAGGAAGGAGAGGATCACAGAACAAACTTACCAAATGTCAAGATGGACACCTGTCATCAAGGTTAGTAGAGACACACACAACTTCACTATAAATGCCAATCCCTCCCATTTTGAAAGTACCTCAATTCACCAGCAGAGCTGCTCTCACTGTCGAGAATAAGAAATTGGACAGAAGCACTCTCCGAGCAACAATTTATACCAAAATGCCTTTTTATTGGACATTGACTGCCAACAGAAATTGATTGAAGACAAATCTTTGATTTGATCCGAATTGATTCACAGCAATTCGGACCGTGACGGTTACCGTGCCTTTGCCGCTATCTCCTAATCTAAAGCCATTAATTTTTATTTCAAAATGCAAACAATATATTAACAAATAAAAAAATGTAATGCCTCTTAATTTTCCAACATGTCAAATACCCTACTATTCACGTAGGACACGTAACTAAACAATTATTGAATGCAAGTTTAAACGATCTGCACATAAGCGGGGACAACTGTCTGTCGAAAGCAGCCGGCGGCGGTGCCACACTATGATGTAGGCACTCGTCACCATAGCTATGAAGTACAAAAATGAGATGCTCCTGCCCCACGGTCCAGGAATAATAAATTAAAATATGCATAATGTATAAATCCTTCTTTCAGGATATCATGGAAGACGCCATTGAAGATAAACTAGATCAACGTCACTTTCCATTCTTGGCTGGACGCGCCCAAACTTCAGGATACCAGGCACCAACTAGGTAAACTGCCTAATATATAATTTTACTATATACTTAAAGTTTTTGGCATCACAAGAAGTTACTGTATATTCGTTTTATGATTGCAGTGTGCGCTACGGACACTGGCATAAAGACAAAGCGCAGCAGACTATTAAAAACGTACCACGCCTGATTGTCTTCGTTGTTGGAGGTAAAGAACAAAATCATAAAATCCTTGTCATATTACTTTACAAACGCTTAATAATGACGTTTTTTGGTTTTACGTTTTTAATACATATTGTTGTAATAAATCTGTGTTTTATGTATGTTATATTACTTATTCTTCCAGGCGTCTGCTTCTCTGAAATTCGCTGCGCGTACGAAGTAACAGCTGCGCTTAAGAACTGGGAGGTGATCATCGGCTCTTCCCACATACTGACCCCTGACAACTTCCTGTCAGATCTCAGCTCTCTAACCGCCTAAATCGGGAATGCTTGAGAAGCCGGCTATCTACATTACAGAAATTCATAAAGTGATTGCCTAACTTTGTTTTGAATAGTCGAAGCTAGCGAGATGTCTAGGCCCAATACATTGAAACGCATGTACTTATGTATGCATTACATAAAAAAATGTTCAGTGTTGCTCTACTTCGACCCTTTTATTGTGATATCAGCATATAGTAACTATGCAAAAGCATAGTATATGGCAAAACTTAATTTATTTTAAGGGCCAATTTTACTTTAGTACCGCTTATTCTTACCAGCACTACCATCTGACACAGTCAGCCTGGTTGTTTTTGAATACAAATATTTTTTGTATGTACTATAAATAACTAAGTACCTTTTGAAATTTGAGATCAGAGTGCAAAAGTGCTTTACATTATTAATAATGATTACGTTTTATCTTTCATATTACGTTTTGTTGTATAGCAACTTGATCAAAATATTTATATTGTTGACATTTATTTCAAAGTAATTTTATCAATATTGGAATTATTAGTTTGTAAGTTTTCAATGTATTATTTTGTTGATAGGAATGTTAAACATAACATAGCATGGTTTTGCGTAATATTAATATCGACTGATTCAAACAACATGCTATTGTTAAATTATGGTACATTAAATATTTCTATCGAGGTAATATTTGAAAGTATAGACGTAGTTCTAAAGATAATCTACAAAATTATAGTGAGTACAATGTCTTTTATCATGTGTGTGTTTACTAGTTGTAAATTTCGCTTCCAAAAACCGTTGTGCAGTTAATTTAATGCCAAATGCTAGAATCTTACAAGTATTACTGTAGACATAATTTGTGAAGAGAACTCTGTTATTTAAAAACTGCACCTTTGATTACTATGTACAGCGCACTGCGGTCGAGCTAAATATCGCGTCGACTTGATGTAGTTCACGATACTCACAAAACTATTACACTTATCTATGATATAATGCTGCGTGTTTGCTTTTCACAATAAGAACCGTTACGTTTACATTCCAAACTTCCTGTATTATAGTCATTAGACAATGTTTTACTCTTGAAATTATTTAGTATTTACCTCTTACATTGTTTGTACTAAGTCAGGTACGTTTAACGTATTGGTGATTTACTATTTTAACCTAAAATATCGTGTAGAATGTTCTAGATAGGCCACATGACCTTTCACATGCCATTCAACAAAATGAAATGTTATTCACTGTTGAAATAATATCGAACTTGTATGTTGGTCTCATCGTAATCTGGCCACTGTTATCTAAAAATTTTCATAAATTGTGTGTTAATGAAGGATTGTGCAATTATGTAGGACGTATTCGTGTTACTAGCCAGTCAAATCATAATTATCAGTATTTAATTGTTAACAATTTCATTAAATTATTTAATCATTATTAAATAATACTTGTTTTATTTTATAAATGTTTATTATCTCTTCTTTATCTTCTCTTGAAGTTTTTCGGGCAGTCCCTACCACGAAGTGATCAATTAGAGATCATCATGATGTAATAATAAATCAATCGTGACTGTACCTTCACTATAATGAGTGCACGGTGCGTATGGTAGGTACGCGACTAACCGTGCATTCGATTCCCTGTCAGTGTGCATGTACTGATGATGATTATTGTACGTGATGAGTATGTCTGTAGTAGGTCAGCAAACGGATTACCTGATAAAAAGCAATCAGCGCCGCCCATAGGTTCCTGCTACAACGGACGAGTACCTAAGGAGTTCGTTACCGACCTTTTAGGAATAGGGATTTGGAGATTTTTTAAATGGAAAGGAATGTGCTTGCGGTAACCTCACACGACGAAACAACGCTGTGGTTGTTTCACGCAAGTGTTCTGTGGCCGTGGTATTACTAGGGTCGTGCTGACCCATTCGAGCCCAAGCATCGCTCCCCCACAATTCTGTCTAAACAACAATATCATCAAACATATGCAGCCGTTTTTTAGTTAAAAATACAATAATCATGTGACTAACAAAGTCTTGTGAGTATTATACGCAGGTTATCGCGTATGTTGTTATGTTACTGAGAATAGGTACCTAATCTAGAGTGGTGTGGTTAAGTTGTTAAGTTAATGGGTATTAGGTACTATATTTATTTTGCATCTAGTTACTTTGTACCTATTGGATAAGAGAAAGCAAAAGGACATTCAGCGTGTTGTGGCAATAGCCTAGTCAACCGAAACATCTGGCAAGCTTGGCCTTTTCTGTAAATCTAGCTGAGGTATCTAACACCTTCAACAGTTACAGTGGGAGGGTAGGTATTCAATTCAATTCAATATATTTATTGCATTTCACAATGTGAACTTAGGTGGTGGGGTACATACGGATTTACATATATTAGTTTAAGAGCATTGTGGGCCCTGTCGGGCATAACAATATTTAATTTTTTATGAGGAGGACTAGTATTTATACATATATGTTTACAATTTTAAGTAGGTTTATATAGCTTATTCTATCTATACTAATCTATACTATCTATACTTATATTATAAAATTGAATGCGAAAGTAAATGTCTGCAGGAAGACACTATTCCACGCGAACGGAGTCGTGGGCAAAAGCTAGTTATACATGTATTATTAACATTTGTTTCTTTTAAGTTAGGTACCTAAGCATATGCTGTTGAATAAAAAAGTGCACTGCGAAGCACGCATCCCTTTTCTGTTCGATTCCCGGATCGTGCAAAATCTAAGTCATAAAAATTGCAAAAGCTTTCCCCGCAAGCATTTTTGTAAGTACCTACCAAATCATTTTCGACAAAGGACTAATCTTGCCCTCAGTCTCAGTGCCGGTGCAGGGGCCATTGACATCCCGAGCGAAAATATTAGGGCGCACTATCAAGCGTTAGGTTTGCTACAAGTAAGTACCTAAACTTACATTAAGAATTTCTTTTTGTCGTTTTACCCACAGCTAGCGAAAACGGAGGTTTTCAATGCCAGCTGCTTCGTTGTGAAAAAAATTAGGAACTTCAAAAATGTATTAAAAAGAGGACACAATGAAAACCGATTTAAAGATAAAACTTTTGAGTCGTTGCTCAATGAGGTTTGCATCAGGGGAAACAGGAGACTCCATCTCCAGACTAGACGTTTTTTTATTTGGGCACCGTGTCATCGAATACTAATCTGTGATGTTTTAATAAATAATTATAATCTATAAATAAGCGTCTCGTCTGTCTATCAACAATGAGAGACTTTATTATTATGTTAACCTTAGGGTTATCAATGAAAATTGCGCCAGTTCATAGTCGCTTTCAAATTGTAGACATCAGTCAACAAGTGATATCGTTACAAAAGAGACATGGCGAAAGATCTAGTAATATTGGCTTATTCCGGTGGTTTAGATACTAGTTGTATTCTAAAATGGTAAGCGACCAAATTTCTTAAAATTAGATAACTACATACATACCGGGACCTGTTAAAAGGCCTACTTGTTATTTAGGTACCTATCTACATATCCTGCTGAAAGGTACTTAGTGCTTGATTTGGGTAGGTACCTAAGTAGACTAAGTAGGTACCTACTATTAAAATGTTACCTTTTTATAGTTTCGCGACTTTAGCATTTAATTTTGCAGGGCAAGATACCTAGATACCTACCTTATTAGTAGCAGTTTAACATTTAAATGAATAATTCTTCAATTCTCAGGTTAATACAGAAAAATTACGATGTCGTATGTTATATGGCCGATGTCGGTCAAAATGAAGATTTCAAAAAAGCCAGGGAAAAGGCTTTGGATGTGGGAGCTAAAGACGTAAGTTACTAACCACCTAATTCGCCAACGTTATGAAACTATTTTTGTTTAAAATCTTATTTTTTTATCTCTTCTACATATTTTTAGGTGATCGTTGAAGATCTTCGCAAAGAATTTATATCGAACTACATGTTACCGGCTGTACAAATGGGCTTGGTTTACGAAAACCGTTATTATTTAGGAACATCTCTAGCACGACCCTGCATCTCCGTTGGCCTAGTCAACGCTGCTAAAAAGCTAGGAGCCAAGTACATTTCTCATGGTGCTACAGGCAAGGGCAACGATCAAGTCAGATTTGAATTGAGCGTGTACTCGCTTTGGCCTGAAGGAAAGGTAAACAAAACCTTAAATTAATCCGATCTCTATGATCCTCAACTGAAATAAATATCTAAATCTTAAATATTTCATCATTATTTTTAGGTAATAGCTCCTTGGCGGCTACCGGAATTCTTCGAAAGATTTCAAGGACGAAGTGACCTAATTGAATTCGCAAAACAGGAAAACATTCCTGTATCAGCTACTCCTAAAGAACCCTGGTCAACTGATGAAAATATTATGCACATAAGGTGAGTACAAGCCAGCAAAACCCATACAATCAAAACATGCAGGTACCTACCTATCCTCTTTATGAAAGTAGCCTAATACTTATCCAGCCCGATAATAAAGCCATGTTATATTTAACTACCTATTTGATTCAGCTATGAATCCGGCGTCCTAGAAGACCCAGGTGCAATACCTCCAACTGGTATCTACAAAATTACGCGCGATTTAAAACAGGCTGAGGACTATCCGAGTATGATTGATATAAACTTTGAAAAGGGTAAGTTACCTTATAACTTATAAATAACAGACAATCGGTTCATGGTTTTTTTATATTTATGTATTTACCAGGACTGCCTGTATCTGTTCGCATTCCCAGTGGACACGAAAAGTCTCTTGTGTTGACTGATCCACTAGCAGTAGTTCAAACCCTGAACAAATTGGGAGGTCAACACGGTGTGGGGCGTATTGACATCGTGGAAAATCGATTCCTTGGATTGAAGGTACCCAACAAAACATCAATGTAAAATAGTTTACAATAAAAACTTAAAAATAAACCCCTCGACTCTCCAACCATCTCGGCACAGTAGGTATAAATAAGTAAATAGAGAATTTATACTGTGTATTCCATATTTATACTTTGATCTCAAAATTTTCCGATCTAGCCCGATCAAGCGTAACGCCAGGATGAAAGGAGACGGATAGGTACACAGATGTAAATGTTAATATTATCTATCAACATCTTTCGCCCGCGACTTCACCCGCGTGGTATGTTGATAAAAAGTAGCCCTATTCCGGCAATGAAATATAAAAAATAAATGTCCTATTCTGGAGTGTACCCTATACCAAACGTCGTAACTTTCGTATTTATAATTTTAGTAAGAAGTAAGATTTACTTGCGTACCCTGCAAAAATAAATTATAGATACAATTTATTTACCGTCCTGTCGTCTTTTTTTGCAGTCCCGAGGACTATACGAAACACCAGCAGGAACAATTCTTCATATAGCCCACGTAGATCTGGAGGCTTATGCTCTCGATAGAGAAGTTCTGAGGTAAACATTGTCTTTAATTTTATAACTAAAATGTTATTAAGTAATTGATAAATTAAATAACAATTAGATTGTTATTTAACAAATGACAAATAACTTAACTTACAGAGTAAAAAAGTATCTGCAAGACAAAATGGCAGATTTTATTTACAATGGATTTTGGTTTTCACCTGAAGCCACGTACACGCGAAAATGCTTGGAATTGTCTCAAGAATTAGTGAATGGAATGGTTACCGTTCAAATCTATAGGGGATGTGGTAAGTTAAAATTTTTGCAAACATATCGACCGTATCTTAACATTATCTTTCCTTTATCACCACAAAGTCTTCGCTTTCTCTTTTTTTTTACTGGATATAAACTAGAGTGGTTGAATGCGATCCCACCTGATGGTAAGCAGTGATGCAATCATCGATGGTAAGGCGCACTAGTTTATTAAGAGCCTATTCACTCTAGCCTTGAAGACATCTAAATTATATTTGGACGGAAAGACTGCAGCCGGCAAACTGTTCCAATCCCTTGATGTACGCAGTATAAATGAGGCAAAACGATTAGTCCGGGCCGCAGGTGTCTCAACAACGTAAGGGTGGAAATCTGCCGTACGCCGGGATGTCCGAAGGTGAAATGGGGATGGCGGAATCAAATCGTGCAATTCCGGCGCACACTCTCCAAAATGCATCCTGTAGAACGCCGCAAGGCTGGCTACTCTGCGAGCTGCCTGTGCTCGAGACTTTGAAGATTGGACCCAACCAAATCCGGATCACCAATCAGCCTCTTTGCACGCCTTTCCACTGAATCCAAAGCCGCTAGGTGGCATTTTGCAACACCAGCTCATATGTGGCTGCAGTAGGTACTCCACACACGTTCGGACCTGTGATCGTGCGTCTCTCTCCCAGTTTTAAAGATTTCAGCATACCTACCTTTAGTTTTTTTTATTAGAGATCCCTCTGTATCTAGATGCTTAAATTTTTAAACTGCGCATCGGGTTATGGCTCGATTTTTTAGAGTAATAAATACCTAGGTACTCTTCAAGAGGAAGCTTTATATGTATCCATTAAATAGGTATGTACCTAGTAGAGAAATTTAGAATTTACCTACCTGCCCGTGCGAAGACGGGGCGGGTCATTAGGTTTATACTTTTGTGTTCACTCGTTGTGTTTTGTTTGATTGCAGTAACTATACTAGCAAGAAAAAGTTCTGCAAGTTTGTACAATAAAGATTTAGTATCGATGGATATAGCTGGAGGTTTCTCACCTGAAGACAGCACTGGATTTATTAATATCAATGCTCTTCGTCTCAAAGAATACTCCAGATTTTTGAAACAATCAAAATAATAAGTAGAAACTACGTCTTGGTGTCATTCAATTTTATTTCATATTCCGAATACACTCTTCATGTTTAATACATTTTGTGTTGTTTATTTTTATCAATCCAAAACATTCTTATAAAATATCTCTCCCATATAATTTCACCTAAATAAATGAATCGTTTGCGTTCGTTTTGAGTCTGTAGTTGTACCCGGTATCTATAGTAATAACATGAATCTATGGCTTAATGCTCACCCCTTATTACATTGTGTGGTCAGAATACTCTATGTTTCTTCATAATCAATATTAGTAAACTTTGTTCAATATTATCTCAGCTCTTACGACAGCCGAAATTGCGCGTGAAGAGCAATAATGTTTAGCGGCTGAGCGGCCTTTTTTTGTCAGGGGAAAATCATCAATTGACTTCTCCCGCCCAGGGTAAGGCGAGAGAGAGTGTCAGACTCTTACTGACTAAAACCCCCCATTCCTTCTCCTGCTCTGGGTCGAGGCCGCGGTGACTCCCGCAACCCCGGCTGAACATCGGCCTGTAGACCATTGTTATAGACCATAATTATATGGGGATCGTTCGGCGGCTGAGCGGCCTGAAGCAGGACGTAGGACATATGTTTACCACCTAAGTTACGAAATACCCAATTATTCTAGATAGACACCATACTCACCATAGACACCTAGGTACTATTTAGTAGAAAGGTTTTACTAAAAACTTGGGTATGCATAGCTGCTAGACTAAAAGATATCCTTACAATTGGCGCCCCCTGCGTGTGTGCCCATTAAGCATTGGCAGGCCCCTTTTTTTCTAATAGAAAATCATCAAATTACTTCTCTTGCTCAAATTTTTTTTTTAATATAAACGTTGCCCCGCATTAGGATTTTCTCCTGTGTCGTGGGTGCGTTTACAAACATACAATTCCAAATGCACATCACACCCAGACCCGGAACAACAATTTGTATCACACAAAGAGTTGTTCCGTGCGAGAATCGAACCCGCAACACGTTGCACGGCAGCCAGTTGCCCAGCTATCGCGCCAACCGTGCAGTCAAATTATGGATAGTTTAGGAGAAAAAAATGGTATTTGTGAAATTTTACCAATATTGTAAAAGTTTCAGTACGAAACATGCCTAAAGTACACGATGTTACCGTTAAGATATTCCAAACCTGGTGTCAACTTATAAAACAAACAAAAATTCAATTTTTTTGAACCAGTTATGGACCGGTAAAATCTGTTTTGTGTGTGTTGAACACCCAGTTAGTTATGAACCTAGTCATGGACATTCAATTATAGACATGAACCTAGAACGACAATTTTTCAAATTTCAATTATATACACGACCTACAATAATTTATGACATGAGAATATAATAACCTACACAAGAAAATTAAAAAGTATTTTTTAAACGACCGTTGTGTTTTACTGTGTGTTTGAGGTCACAGGAGGCCCGATCATTCCCCTTCTTCTGTTTCGGATCCAGCGGGAGGAAACACCCGAGTGTCGTCATTGTGAGGACCACCTGGAGCATACGGTGGAGCGTACGGTGGCGGCATGCCCTGCCTGGGCTGAGCACCGCCGTGTCCTCAGGGAAGTCATCGGCGGCGGCGACCTCTCGCGCCCGGCCTTAGTCGAGGCCATGGTGCGGAGCGAGAGAAACTGGGACGCCATCTCCTTCTATGAAGCAGTTATACTCGCAAAGAGGGAGGCAGCCTGCGTGATGGAGCAATCCTCCTCCTCACGCCCCAGCCGCCGCAACAGGCGACACTATGGGCGTCGGGGATCAAGGGACGATCTCCGGCCACCGTAAGCGCGGGTCTACGGTCGGCGAGTAAGGGCAACTCGCCGTCCGACCAGAACCAGACCGGAGCGTACGGCGTGCAGCGTTCCACGCGCGCCTTAAAGAGCCAATAGACCACCACAGACGGGGCCCTATAGAGCTGATGTTCAGCCGGGGTTGCGGGGTAAGCGCAATGAGGCACCGCGACCTCGGCCCGAGCAGGAGAAGGAACAGGGAGGTTTTTAGTCAGTAAGTGTCTGACACTCTCTCCCGCCCGGAGAAGTCATTTGATGATTTTCCCCTCACAAAAACAAAATCCCTCCCCAATCCTTAATCCAAATCCCTAATAAAAAAAGGTCGGCACCTGTTGTTGCGGGAGTCCATGGGCAGCGCTGGTTGCTTACCATCAGGAAATCCGTAAGCTCGATTGCCGACCTATAACATAAAAATATTATGGAAATAATCTGAATCAGCCTTTCATCAAACTTTCACATTCATTAATTTATTAACAAAAGATTATAATTTTAAAAAGTAGCTATAATCTTTTGCTACCTATTATAATAACAAAATATTTCCTTGAATCAATTTTAGCATGCACTTACATTGTAGGTACTATTACTGTATCACTATTTTACATTGCACAATTAACATAATATCTTACAACTAGCTAAGCTGATTTATATTGTACATAGTACATTAGATAATTTTACTCTAATAAGTTATGTATAAAATAATCATGAGAGTAAAATTAGTTAAAAACCTCAACATACAAAAGTACTTATAATTAAGTTTCGATATTTTGTCCATTATGGCAACTATTTAGTAACATTGCACCAGTTATAAATATCAATATAAACGTCAGCAAACACAACCTCTGAGCTCTGATAGAAAACAACAAGCGTGTGCTGTCTTCATTTGATTTTTAACCCAACAAACAAACACATTCTCATTAAAATAAAGCAATAGCAGAACACAAATGATACTTTTATTTACCGCACTAACAAAAAGATGCACAATAAATTTTTATTCGGATTTTCGTTTTTTCCGATTTTATTTCGAAATTTTGTGCACTAATTTCTATTTGCGAATTTAAAGTGTGGCTTAGTTCACAGTTCACACCTTAGTCTTAGACTTGCTTAGACTATATTATTGAAACGAACATTGATTGAAAGACAATAAAAAGTTACTAAAATAAAACACACTAAACAGAATGCAGAACAGCAGTCGCCAATGACAGTTGACATTAAACGTCATTCCTCATTGTTATTCAATGATCATCAGTCAGACTATTATCAAGGAATATAATAACTCTCTACGAGCTAAATAACAACAGTCCGTAGCTCGGTTACAATTTTTAGTTTTTTACCTACCGTATACACAGTTGTATCTAATCAAAATGCAAAGAAATTTGCCCCAAAATAAAGAAGCACTGCTAAAATCGTATACAACAAGATTAAAGGAAGACGTTAAGAGCATGTTAGAAAATTTTGAAGGTAATTATTTGAATCGATTCCTTTTGCGGCATTATTTTCTGTTATATTTTATTACTTGTAGTATTGTAGTAAAAATGCAGTTTTATCATCTGTATTTGGTATATATTGAATGATATATTTTATTCTTAATATAAAAGGCCCTTTAATAAAGGGCCTAGTGAGAGGTGTAGTAAAGTCTATTGCTTGTAAAAATAGTTGTATATTTGTTTCTTGTTGTATTTAAAACATGAATATTTTATCAAAATGATATGAATAACACAAAAATGTCGTCGTCTTTGCGTTTAGAAATCATCAAGCTCGCAAAACTTGAAAATGAAACCCAACTCAATAGGATGACACAAATTGAACAAGACACATTTGAAATGCAAGTCCGAGCAGCTAACATTGGTAAGTTAACACATGCTAAAATTCACTTTCTTGCATTCAATATAAGTATTTATATCCATGTTGTTTATTAGTCAGTGTTTCAGTTACAACAGTATTATTATGTATTAAGATTGAGATTCACTTTCATTTGATGATGATGAGTTTCTTAATTATTATTAATCAGATTAGAATAAGATTAGTACAAATTGAGTGTACAGATATTATTGGATATAATCACCAAAAATCTTTAATTCATCAAACCAAAAGCAAATACCAATGTGCATACATTCCTATTGTTCTTCTATTGTGTCTTGAGTTACTTACCACAATTGAAAGGATCAACATTTCTTTATTTTTCAGTGAGAGCTGGTGAATCCTTAATGAAGTTGGTGTCAGATATAAAACAATACTTAATCCTGAATGATTTCCCATCAGTTAATGAAGCTATAACACAAAATTCCAAACTATTCCGCACAAAACAACAAGAATGTGACCAAAAACTGATGTCACTCCGTGATGATATTGCAGCTGACCTGTATGATTTAGAAGATGAATATTTTACTAGTATATATAAATAGCTCTAAGTATCTATGTTTAAGTTGTAATAAATGAATATGCTTTTTTTATGTACTGTTGTTTATTTTCCCTTACAACCAAGAGAATTTGTTAAACACATGAAACACAGAACACCAGCGTGAAACAACCAGTGTTGTGTTTCGCAGTGTGAGTGAGGTTACCGGAGGCCCAATTCGTCCCCCTTCCCAACCCTTATCCCCAAAAGGCCGGCAATGCTCTCTTAACTCTGGTGTTGCAGGTGTCTATGGGTGGCGTCGATTGCTTACCATAAGGTAATCCGTTAGCTCATTTGGCGACTTATGCCATAAAAAAAATGTGCCTCACGCGTATTGAGATCGATCAATGAAGCATGTAACCCTCCATAACAATAAAAACACGCGTCGTGAGTTTCTACGACGCAATGTCGTATCGTGGTACGACACGACGTCGTATCGAGATTATGTGTCTCAGGTGTTACTTTGCTACTTACTTTTGCTATGGGAAACAGGCTTCATCTTAAGAGCCCAGTGTGTTACATATACCTGGTGATAGATTTCGAGAAAGAGCCCTTGTCTAGCGGGTTTTATGAATATGTTATTATAACACATCACAATTTTATTAATAAAAATCATCATTTAAAACTCAAACTGTTTTATTGAAGCTATTTAATTATAATTCTAAATAGTGAATAATTACTTTTCCATGAACCTTTAGTTGTTTGAAAATAAATAGTGAGGTCCATTAGATGGGTACTGCTTAGCAGTGACAGGCCTGCCAACCTTATAATCTTCCAAAAAAAAGAACAATGCCAAGGATCCTCCCACCACGCCGAAAAACCATATAGCTTGGTGAAGTACAGAGAATCTACGTTTCATGGAGGGGTCATAACGGTCACCACCAAATATTTCCATTCGCGCATGCATCTGTAAAAATACGAAAAATAATTTTACTGTCATTTATTTATTTCGAAACTCTGCCTAGCAATTACATTTTCTTAAAGTTAATAATTTTTTTATTCTCTCTACACATTTGATAGAAGGCACAACTTTCTGTCTCTATTATTTTCTAATAATATACTGTATTATGTTTACCAATAAAAATTGCAAAACAGCTTAAGAATATTCTTAACCTATCCTTTATTATAGGTTTTGGTTGCAAATTATAGGGACTTACAGGTTCGTTAAAGTTTCTCTTCAGTTCGGGATTGTCATAAGGGTAATGAGGGTCCTTCGAATCTTCTCCAATATCAGGTAACTTTGGGTAATCACCATAACCCATATGCTCTGGATACGGTTGGTACTCTTCAATGCTCATTCCATATTTCTTAGCCGCAGCCTCACGCGCCTCTGGAGTCTTCGGGTATGGACCGGGCATGTATTGATAGTTCCAATCTAAAATGAAATGACGTAACAATCATAACACTAGAAATAAAAACAGTGCTGGATTTTTTATTCATAGTCATAAGTCTTACGGTTTCGTGTAGCATTGCAGAGTATCCCAAGGGTTTTTCTCACAGAAACAGGATTAGAAAAGATGGCTTTTTTTAATAGATTCGAAGCCATTTCTGCGAATTAGAAAAACAGCACCTAAAAATTAAGACGTTTGACATTAAGAATTGACAATGACAAATATATTGACATTGCCAAAAACACTTTATAGACAGTGTGGGAAATCGATAGGTGAGTTCTGTTCCTGGACTGCCATAAATTATTCACATTCTAAAATACAAAAATTGAAAGTAGCATATTTAATTAGAATTTTAAACATTATAATGTTGCAGTTGTCTATAACTGAGAGGAGTGAAAGATATAAATATTATTATGCTATATTTTTCTACCTAGACCTTAACTTTAGTAGAAAAAAACTAGTGTACGTCTGTCTAGCTCATTCATGAAGCTTTTAATTAAACAAGTCTTTTGTTGAGCTTCAAAAGTAACCCTCAACTCGTTAGTTGACCGTTTACGTAGAGTTTGTCTAGGAAAAAATTTGTATTTAAGCACCAGCTCTAAAAAAAGAGGTCCCAATAACTGCTACTCTAGTAATAGCTATTGAGAACTTTCAACATTGATCGGCGGTAAATACCGATATCATGAAGTGGCTCTTCGAACTATGATTTTACTAATTGCCACTTGACGTTATTTACCTGCGAAAACGATAATAGGTATTGATAAAACAGGCTATTTTTTATAAAATGATATACCAGCTTCCGCCCGCGGCTTCATCTGCGTGGTACATCACTAAAAGCAGCCTTATTTGTTAATCCAGGGTATCACCTATCTACATACCAAATTTCAACTAAATTGGTTCAGGCGTTTTTGTGTGAAAGAAATTGTTTTTGTTGGATTGGATTGGACGTACCTCATCCAACCCGAAGTTTGGGAGAGGCAAGCTTAATTCTTGCTCATGACCAGATATAATTAAAAGTTTAAGAACAGTGCACTATATTTATGGCACTATTTACTTAATGTCAAAAACGATACTTTTGTATGAAAAATCGTTTACTTATTTCTTAAAAATTAGCTAAAAATATCTAAAATTCAGGGTATCGGTCGATCGATGAATAAAAGTATAGTTATTTTTCAATATTTTATTGTATTGAAACGTCGAATTAATTTATTTTTGACCTAGGAAACTGCCCAATTCTAGATGGTGGTAGGTACAGTCTGTTTGTATGACGGGTATTTACATTATGGGTTTCTTTTACTTTCGTAACATTATCTTTATTTTGAAATACAAACTTGCATATGAATGTGTATTGATGGTGGTGGTAAAATATCGTATTTAATAAAATAGGGTCTGCAGCTCTCTCGATTATCTATTTGTGACATGATACGAATAAGTTTGTCGAGGACAGGAATGATTTTCTTCCGGTTAATAACAGTCACTATCTATGGCATTGGGAGTATTCGCTAAAATGCACCTCATCATTACAATTAGTTAAATCTTGTATGTAAAATGAAGCCCGTCCGTGAATACCAAAATACTCCATAACAGTTATCTAGTATAAGTACATACCTGTTATTTATACCTACCTGTTACTATAACTTCGACACGACTTATACATATATACTTATGTATAGACTTTATTAGCATTGGTATACCAATGACAGAAAATCAGCTGTCACCGTATAGGTACCTATTTAATAGTTTTGGAATGTCACGTAGAACATTTTGTTGATAAAAGGTTTCCTCATATTAATTGGAAACTGAAATGCTATAAATGTGTGAATAAACAATTAAAATCCTAAATGATGGGTAACGAGAGTTCACAGTTAAGTGGTTTAGAAATTGAAGAGAAGGCTATAGAGGTAACCGATTTTTGGTGCCACTATCAGGCTACAATTAATGATAGCTGCAGATATTTTAGCCTGAAAGGGGATGGATCAGTTTCAGTTTTCAAGGGAGAAGCAGCAGTTGGCCCTCTTTGGTCGATATCAACGCCACTGGAAAAGTTTTCAAATGTATGTAATAATGTTATAATATACTATGTCAAAAATAAATATGTCTCGAATAAGTTTATTGTATGTAAATTTTAAATGTAATTTTCAGAATCTCCTGAAGTACCGACACCCGTGCATTGTTCGATATATCTCAGCTTGGCAACAGCGTTCTACACTACACTTAGCTACAGAGTATGTGCAGCCATTGTCACATATCCTTCCATCCTTAACACCTCTCCAAATATGCATAGGACTCAACAATATCTTAAGAGCCTTGGTATTTATTCATGAACAGGTAAGTGCTTTACTATATCAAGTTTATAAATATTTTGATATTATGTTCATGATTTGGTTGCTCTTGTGGTTTAAATGAAACAATAATATATTTTTCTCTTGTTGTAGGCTGGTATGTCTCACAACAATGTGAGTGTGTCAGCAATATATGTCACTGGAGATGGACAGTGGAAGCTGGGAGGACTACAATATCTATGCCCCTTTACTGAACTAACAGCAGCTTATCTGAGACATGCAAGGATACACAGGTTTCATTTATTTTTAAACTTCATTATTTTTATTCCATTGTATAATGTTGAACTCTATTTAGATATAGTTTAGTTAACATATCTGTTAGATATCATAATTATTAAAGATCCAGGTAACTCAGATAAGTATTTAATTTTTGATTATTTGCAAAGATAATTAAAACTGATTAATTCTAGATATTACAATTTTATTTTTGAAAGATTGGCAATTATCTATTATTTACTTTTGTCTCCTTAGGTATGACAAAGCTGTTGATCCTAATGAAGATTCATATGAGATTACTACAAAAGTGGACCAATATGCATTTGCAGTATTAGTTGATGATGTTTTCAAAGATTGTAAAGACGGTGTGTATTTAATTGACATTTATTTGTATTGTATTTATTTCACATACACATGTCCTGAATAATAGTTATAAAAAGTGGTTTAATTGTCTCTTTTGCTTTCAGATGAAGTACCACATTTAAAAGAATTCAAAAAATACTGCAAAGATTGCTTGCAACATCAAAATCCTGCCAAAAGGCCCAATTTGTCGGAACTGTTACACCATAATTTTTTCAATCACGAATTTATATCTATTTACAAATTTCTCAATTTTCTTCCATTGAAATCAGAAGAAGAAAGGTGCCAGTTTTTTGCAAATATTTTAAATAATTTGAAATGTTATGATGAAGAAACCGTGGCTAAGCAATTAGGAGGTCTTTTACTATCCAGGCTCACAATGTTGGACCAAACTGCCAGAAAAGATGTCATTCCTTTTATTCTTAAACCCAAAAATGGTAATATACCTTTTATGAACCTTTTTATTAGACTATAAAGTTATAAAAAAGCTACACCCCATACCTAATTCCCTCATAAAGTCATAACTATGTATTTTCTTACTTAAATTCCAGACCGTATTACTAATGGTGAAATACCAGGCTTTTTTAGTCTCAGTGTGTTCAAAGAACATATCAAACCCAGACTAATGCAGTTATTTGGAGTGAGAGATAGTCAAATAAGGATGTTACTTTTGAGACATTTTTCAAAGTTTGTGCATGTCTTCTCACATGAAGAACTTTCTCAACATATTCTTCCTGAGGTAATTATGCTAGAAGTATTTAATACTGTATTAGTACTTAATAATACGCTACATATGAAATAAATTAAAAATTAAAAAAAAATCCCACAATAAAACATAAGCTACCTTTAAAAAGTATATAATACAAAAAAAAACTTAATTGAATTTTTTTCATCCGTTCAGGAGCTATGATGCCATAGACACAGACAGACACGTCAAACTTACGAAAGTTTTTGTTTTTTGTGACATACAAATACCTTTAATTTGAGACCCATCTTGAGCATATTTGCAGGCATTCGGTTTTTTTTCCCCACTTTTACCAAACTAACTTTTACCAGTTTTAAAAGTTTTGGGACTTTTAAAAGCCTCAATCGATTTTCATAAAACATGTCTAGGAACACTCGCCCGCAAAACACCTTTAATACAAAAAAAACTAAATTGAGATCAGTTCATTCGTTCAGGAGCTATGATGCCACAGACAGACAGACAGACACGTTAAACTTATAACACCCCTCTTTTTTTTGCGTCGGAGTTAAAAATACTATTCTACTACTACACTTAATTAAACCCTATTGATTCTAAGGTTTATAATAAAATAGAATTGTTTAGATGACATATCAATGCCTAATTTTAAAATGTTGCAGTTGCTCTTGGGAATAAAGGACACTGACGACAGTTTAGTATCAGCAACACTTATATGTTTAAGTGAATTGGTACCTATATTAGGAGCTGACACTGTCATAGGCGGAAAAAGATCTAAATTTTTCACAGATGGTAGACCTAATTCAAAGCCCAAATCTCAACTGCCTGGAGCCATACCATTGACGGAAAATAGTGTTTATTTAACCAAATCTTTGCGAGACTTACCTTGTTCTGAAGAAATTTATGAAAATGATGATAGAAATGAACTAATTTCATTTGATAAGACTTTAACATTAAATGAAAGGCCTTCACCTGTTGGTGGAGAATCCTTAGATGATGAGATTATATCAACAGAATTTCTTACCAAACAGAAAGCAGATAGTGAAGATGACTGGAGTGACTGGGATAATCGTCAATTAACAACAAAACCAGATTCTCCAAATATTGAAGAAAATAATAAAAATGGACAGCTAGTCAACATTGAAAATGTGGATGAAAAAGTTTCTTCAAACTCAAACATAAACTCGAAAACTGTATCTGAATCAAGAACTACTTTACTGCAAAAAGCTGCAATGCAGGCAAAAAAGAATATCGTAGATATTTCTGAATTAGACATAAAAAATCAGAAATTCGATTATTCGAAAAAGAGTTCAGATGAGTTTGACTTTTTTGCTGATATGGCCCCTGTAATTGAAAAACCGTCTGTTGTTAATATTGCTCAAAATTCTGAAAACGTAAGCAGCAAATTAAACTTTGTCCCAGATGAAAACATCGATGAGAATGAAGGCTGGGGCGAGAGTTGGAATGATTAGTAGCTAATTGAGATTACAGAATTGCATAGGATTTAAAAGGTATTTTGTTATACAAGAAACTTACAAACACTTTTATGTTTTATGTATAAGATATTATGTACATACTTTGTGAATCAAATATTTATGTATATTTCATTAGAAATCTGTATTGTGTTTTAAACTGATTAACTCGGAAGTAAATTTGTAAGTCATTATCATACCATTTTTGTGCTCATTTTAGGTATGTCGCCATCATACAGTAATTAATTATGAAGCTCCGTTACACAAAAACCCGTTTACATTCCTGACTTATTGGTCCGATTTTTGTATTTTCATATTAAAAAAAGAATATTAGCTCAGTTATTTTTTAATTGAAATATTAGGAGTTTTGTGCATTTCTTAATAGAAAAGTTATAGGTACTTACCGTCTTGACTCGAAGTATGTTATTCTAATAACAAATTGTGTTCCTTTAGATATGTGAAAAACATATAGATAAATAGTAAAATGCTGTATATATAGTATGTGCAATTTATTTCTTCTTTCTCTCTCTCCGCACAAGAATTATTAGATCACAATCTTATAGCAAACATTCAGGTTAATTCATTTTCATACATTACGAACTTTATTGCTTGTGACCAATTAGTGATTCATGTAAAATAACGAGATTTGCATAATTTATGTGCACTGTGTATCAAAATGTATGAAAGATGAAAACAAAATAATTACTATATCGCGACGCAAGTAATAACGACGGAAATTATCAAGTTGAATTAATTTAAAGTAATGTAAATATCGATCTTTATTCAAAGATTTTGGATCTACATTTCTTATCAATTTCATATGTAAACCTGATGTTAAAGGCTTTTACACTAAAATATGTAGTTGCTTTTAATTATAAAATTGAATCTAATTTTTAAGACGTCTCTACAAGGAGCCTTGCAATAATCATTTCTTTGGACTAAAAAACACATCACATAAAATTAAAAAGTGTCTACAGTTGGCTCTGTCTATCCTTAGATTCATTATAGTAAACAAAAAGCAGGTGGTTCAAAGAAATGCTTCAAGTACTTGACAAATGATTGATGATGATGATGATGACAGAAGATTAAATGTTATTTAACAATCTCACAACCTGGCCATAGGCGTCGATTCTCCTTGTTTTTTGTAACTAATTTGAATCGCTTATGTAAACTTCAAACAGAAACAGAAAATATTAACAGTTCATTAGTCCATATTTTTTGTGTCACCAGTACATAAACATAGGTAAGTTGTTTGCAAAAGAGAATCGGCGTTTTGTACATCTAACAAGCATGGCCCAAAAACAATTAATTACACTGCATTCTTAAATGCAGCTTGCGGCTTAGCCAAATAAATATTTATATAAGATTCTATAAACTTGTTTTATTTAAATAACATCTAGGATTAAATTTAGGCAAATTGTGTCTAGATCATATTTTGTATCTTAACTACTGATTGGTGTAGCACAATAGTAAAATAAGCACCACATATATTGCGACATGTCTAATACAATAAAATTATACAAGTAGTTATGACTTCTATTTAATCTATAAAGGGTGTATCACTGACTTACGAAAATCATATTCTTTATTTGCTTGATTACTACTAATGAGTATCCTATACAACAAAAACAATTGAGTTACTTACAATATAAAATACTTGAACATTCTAATAACCATAAAGGAAGAACAAACATTTTGATATAATATCAGTCAACAAAATGGTAAGTAGGTAAAACTTATAAATAAAAACATTATTATAGGACTAGAAATAGGAAATAATCCTCTTAATACTAAATTTAAACAAAAATGACTAGACGGAGGCTTGTAAAAGGAACAACACAGTCATATTACCTATATTATGGCTTCTTGGAGCAAATTTAATAATAGCCATAAAGTGAATGATTGGCACTTGTATTCAAGTATCTCCACATGTTCACATATTTATGAGTAATATACAACATTTATTGTGGACATGTTTGGATAAATTACAAATACCTTTCATTCCAATGACTACAATTATTCAAAAAATAATAAAAAGTTCAAAAACTTATAATAGTACTAATCTAGGATGAGATTCTAGGAAATAACTTTTAGATTAGATTAACACCAATTGGTAAATCTGAGGTGTTTATGATTAATTCTAAATAGCAATTTTCTTTTGCATGACTAAATCTTTGGAGGTCTCGTGGAAAACATCAATCATTTGTTGGCGGGCTATTTCTGATAATCTTTCTACATCATCACGAGTCATTCCACTTGTTGGTATGGGAGGCAGTGTAGTGATGACTACTTTCCCTGCAATAAAAATTATTTTATTGTAAACTTGTTGAGAAAATAAAACAAATTTTATGTAAAATTTAACCATACCTGGTTCAAATGTCTTGGTGTCACTATCCAGGAAATAATACTGACTAAAAACAACAGGCATAATTGGTATCTGAGCATCAATAGCTAAATAAAATGCACCTTTCTTGAAAGCTTGTATACTGCCTTTGTTAAATCTTGCCCCTTCTGGGAATATCCATAGCTTGGTCTAGAAAATAATAAAGTTTGAGAAATACATTCAAGATCAATATTGAAATTATTGAGTATTGATGACACTTACTTTTTCTTTTATGACTCTGGCTGTGGCATCTTTCATGAGCTGGCGAGCCCGCTCTGTTCTTAACCGGTCGATAAAGACAAGTCCAGAGAGCCAAGCTCCGAAACCAAATGCTCCAGTAAACATTAAAGGTCTCTTTGCCACGACAGTGCAGCGTTTCATACGTGGCCACATTTCAAACATGCCTAGGAATTTAAAAAACAAATATACATAAAAATATGACTACATCTTTATTCCAAAAAAATTAAGAGCTATGTTTACCTAATATATCTAATGAGCTTTGATGGTTAGATATCACAATGTAACATTGTTCAGAATTCCAATGTTCCATTCCTCTCAACTCCCATTCTATACCTACAATATATGAGGCATAACGACAAAATCTGGAAGCAACTCTGAAAAATCACAGAAAAATTTTATAATTAAATTAGCTCTCCATTCTGAAGCAGTATATATCTCAACGAAAACGAAATAATAAATAAATCGATATCTTACATTAGGTTTGTTACGTCGCGAGGATATATTAATACTACGGGTAAAAGCACTGTGCAAGTGATTAACACATAAGCGTAGTAGAGGAAAAATTTCAAGTAATATCGGAAAACATTGCTTTTTTCATATAAAAAGGGCAAGGTAAATATAAAACCCGCCAAAAATAATTCAGGATATGAATAGGAGGAAGCCATAACGAAGAATTGGGTTTGTTTGACATTTAATTTAAAGGTTACCACTAACAAAATATTGATTCCACGAAAAATTATTGTGTCCTTGGATTTTGTCGAATTTAATGCACAGTCCACAAAATCTTAATATTATCTAAAATTAATATGTATATTAAGCTCTACTACTACATTAAAAGAATCATTTTTATTTTAAACTTAATTTAATACGTTTAGTTAGTTAGTATAGTTTGCTATCTTTTTTACACTTTAATTACCAACAAATTCCTGGCAACACTTCAACAGATGTCATGTGTCAAGTTTAACTAAAGTTTCTTTTTCCGGTGGTGTCCTTTCTCGGACGCCAGATTCCTAAATAGTTTTAGGAATTATTAAAAATGGTGAGAAATGTCGCTAAAATATTCTCAGTTTCTCTTAGTGTGGTTGAATCTTGTGTCCATTATCAAATGTTATTCTAAATACAAGCAGTGATTGTGAAAATATGGATTGATATTTTGTGAGCCATGTCAGAAATAAGTTTGTTACTATTGTAATTGTTATTTGAACAACAATTAGGAATTTACCAATTTGTACAAATACTTTATAGTCATAACTGTGAAATCTTTCTTATTCGCATCATTTTAAACAAGTTTCTTCTTAAAAATTACATTTTCAATTTATAACCTAAATGATGAAACACCGACACATGCGCGTCATCTGATGCTGTAGAATAGGCAAAATAGATGTGTTGTACCATGTTTTATGTGTACCGCAACATCAGTTTTGTTTTGGACTGCAGCGCTAATGATTATAAAGTGTCTCTGAATACTTAAATTGTTAAGCTACAACATTTTGATGGAAATGTGACTTATATTAAACTGGAGCTATGTTTTTTAGGGTTTCGTGAAAGTTGTGAAGAACAAGCAATACTTCAAGAGATACCAAGTTAAGTTCAAGAGGCGTCGTGAGGGTAAAACTGACTACTATGCCCGTAAACGCCTCGTCGTTCAAGTAAGTTGTGTATTAATTATACTTCTCTGTGATGGCAGTATTTTAAGTTACAACTGATCCTTAATTTTGGTGATGCTATTTACAGGACAAGAACAAATATAACACACCCAAGTACCGCCTGATCGTCCGTCTGTCTAACAAGGATGTGACATGCCAGGTGGCGTACTCTCGTATTGAGGGTGACCACATTGTCTGCGCCGCCTACTCTCACGAACTGCCCCGCTATGGCGTCAAGGTCGGTAGCATATCCAGAGTAAACTTGTGCACAACATAAACAATGATGATTTTGAACGGGCGGTCTGAAGAGACGTACAAACTCACAAAACCCTGTTGTTATATGTTCAATACTGAGATATACATAGATTAAGTAACAGTTACGTTTTTATAACAACTTAGTATTATAATTGAGCTTCCAATATTTTAGGTTGGTTTGACAAACTATGCTGCAGCTTACTGTACCGGTCTGCTACTTGCAAGAAGACTGCTCCAGAGACTTGGCCTTGACTCCTTATACAGCGGTGCCACTGAGGTCACTGGTGATGAATACAATGTTGAACCTGTAGATTTTGGGCCAGGTGCTTTCAGGTAACTTTAATTTTCATAATTCGAGGAAATACCCAGTCCAATATTCTCATTCCAGGTGTTTAGGATAACCAAGAGATAATTTATGAAATAACCAATATTGTAGTCTTAATAATTAATGTTATGATGAAGTTATTACGGGCGGACTGAAAGCACGTACAATGCTATAAAAGAATGTTGTATCGTAATTATCTGATAATTTTTACAATTTTTCAAATAAATATTGTTACAAAAAAAACAATTATCTAATTAAATTAATGCCTACAGGTGTTACCTTGATGTGGGTCTGGCACGCACCACTACAGGCGCTCGTGTGTTTGGAGCCATGAAAGGTGCAGTTGATGGTGGCCTCAATGTCCCTCACTCCATCAAGAGGTTCCCAGGTTATGATGCTGAGGCAAAGAAATTCAATGCTGAAGTACACAGGTAAGCAATGTAGTTTTTAATTTATTAACATTTTAAATTGAATCAAGATTTCTAGGCTCCATTCATCCTCTAATTAATGGTTTATCTTTTAGTTAGCCAGCATTATTGGAGCAATATCATTAACTTGGGATTTATGGTTGTGAACAAAAGTTTATTTTTACTTTTGGAAACCGGTCCTAAACACAGTTCCATTTTGTTACCAAGAGTTGTTGACACTTTTGTTTTCCCATCATGTCCATTAGTTAGGATCCTGTGTGGAAGTAAATTTGTTTTTTTTTTACAGAGCACACATCTTCGGTCTACATGTGGCTGAGTACATGCGCAGTCTTGAGGCTGATGATGAAGATTCCTTCAAGAGACAATTCAGCAAGTACATCAAACTTGGTGTTAATGCTGATGCTGTGAGTGTTCTTACAACAAAATGCATACAAATTATATTAACGTCCAAACAAATTACTGTTCTTGCATAAAATGCTTGGTCAGTGTCGAAGTTGGACAAAAGAAATGCAATGTTTTTTCCACACTTAAATAATTTATTATTATAAGTACTTAAATGTTGCCACAAACCCCAAGCTAAAGTCGGCGTTCACATACCTATTGTTCTTCTATTGTGTCTTGAAATACCACAATTGAAAGTAATATCTACTATATTTGCTATATTGAAAGTAATATCAACTTACTATAATATTGTATATAATAATTGAAGGGAGCTGTAATTCAAAGTTTTCAATCGACCTAGCTGACTTTGAGAGTCAGGATATGTTAAAATCATGTCAATCAATAATATAGTGAAACTAATAAGCTTGAAATTTCTAGATTGAAGCCACATACAAGAAAGCACATGAACTCATCCGTGCAGACCCATCGCATAAGAAGAAGGAAGTCAAGAAGGATACTGGCAAACAGAAACGCTGGAACAAGCGTAAGCTGACCCTGGCAGAGAGGAAGAACAGGATCAAGCAAAAGAAGGCATCCTACATCAAGAGGCTTCAGGCTCAAGCAGAGGCGTAGGCTTTAACAACAATACAGGCCTATTCCTTTTACCCCTTGCATTTTTATTTTCAATTATTTGTTAAGCAAAATTCCTTTTCTATACTAGTATTATAAACAGGTAATATTTGTCAGTTTGTATGTAGGGGGTAATCTTGGAACTGCTGGTCGGATTTCCAAAATTCATACTGATAGATAGCTACAATGTTCCTGAGTGACATAGGCTATAAAACATCACGCTACAACTAAATGGAGCTGAGCAGCGGGTGAACCTGCGCCAGAGTAGCTAGTTGTATATAATTTCATATAATCTAAACTCCTATCCAGAAACTAAGTGTCATTTATTTTTTCCGAAAATAGGTAATATTTGTACTTATCTACCTTGAGAATTTTATCTTGATGTAGGTAGTGCAGATTAAAAGCAACTTATTTATAGATGCAACATGCACAAATTAGTATATATAATATAAGATCAATTTGATTCCAGGCAAGATATATTGTAAAATTTAAACAAAATATTCATCATAAACTTGGAATGGAAAATAAATACCAGCTAGGTATATTGATGGTTCATTTTGCACAGAAGGTATACTTGCTGCGGAGACTTTGATTCCAGCATACTCACAATCAAGTGAGACACTGGATGCCCAAGTACCTATAGGGGAAATCGTGATGTGTTGTCGAGTCTTTGAAAAAAGCTCGGGTAGCGACTTACCTTTTGCATATTGCGGTGCCTACGAGACTTTTCCTCCCTAGGCGAGGGGCTTTCGTGAGGATTTTCCATCCAGGGTTAGAACAGTGACTTTGACCGATTGCAGCTGATTGTCGCAGGCTTGATAAAGGTTTTATTCTAAAAATTATTGAGCGCCCCCAAGTGGGCGCCATGGGATCTGAATCTGGAGGCGAAGGCGCTCGCGCGATTAGCCGGGGCGAAATTTGTCTGCCGCGCCGCTTCAGATTATTGCGTGGCTGAATGAGATCCAGCAAGATTTGTAAATATGTATATAGTAATCTTTGGAACCGCTGGTCGGAATGCCAAAATCCTTTCACTGATAGATAGCTACAATGTTCTTGAGAGCTTTAGGCTACGATCGGCGACGATAAAACATCACGCTACGATCAAATGAAACCGCGCGAGAATAGCCAGTTTAAAATAAAAACATTGTGTTCGATGTTGAAAGTCCTCGTCATCGTTTAAAAATGCTTGTGAATCGACGATGCGATCGGCCTGTAGGACTCAAGAGAGCTTGAAAGCTGAATTTTTATTATTACGATAAGGCTCTTTGCCTCGATTTAGTATTTGAGCCGTTTTTAGATCATGCCGATTTACATATTCAGAGGAAGTCTACTAATCTTGCATATCCGACCGATGGTCGGGACTGTGTGGCCACCCTTAAACAAGAGAATGGATTGTAGAGACTTCCATGCTCGGTGTTTGTTGAGGCCCCATGCCAAAACCACATAACTTCATTATGTTGGATTTTATTATCTATGGATCTATCCAAACCTCAACTCTCTGCTAGTAAATTAAAAGACTTGGCTTAAAGGACTCGTATCCAGGCCATAAACTCCAAAAAAAAAAAAATCAACTCTCTGCTCTTCTATATACACCAATAGAAAAAAGAAGAAATTCTTCCATGTTCTCGGTATAAAATATTTAACCTTGCAACAATGTAGTATCTCTGAAGAAGTCTGTTGGCTTAAAGGACTTGTATCCAGGCCATAAACTACAAAAAAAGAAGTCTGTGCTGTTTCTTGTCAATGTCAGATTAAATTAATCAAACCTTGGCTAAAACGTAAATAAATAATTTAATATTATTAAAATCTTGTCCACGAGTTCTAGGTACTGAGTTTATTTTTAAATTCTATTTATCAATGTACTCTTACGATATTATCACTTAAACTTACTTTTTGACGATGAACTCTGCATCCGAAAAAAATGATTTGCAAGCTCTGTGTATAATTTGTTTACAGAAAACTAAACAATATATAAATCTGTTTTGTGACAACCACGAATCCAAAGAAACTTTAAATAAAATATATAAATGTTTTCAAGTGACGTTATCTCCTAATAAAAGTGTACCCCCTTTAATGTGTGACAGCTGCGTACATGAATTGAATGTTGCTGATAATTTTCGTCTCAAGTGTATAACACTAAATAGAAGAATTGAATTATATTTGGAAGAAAACTCAAAGGAATATAAAGACCAAATTGAAAATAATCTTAGTAACTCTATACCAGACTATCAGGAAAGCCCAGAATCAGATTGTTGTGTGTATGATTGTTCTGATTTAAATGTTTTTAGAAAGGTTACCGAAGTTAACAAGTCTGAAAAATATGCTGCACCTAAAGAAAGAAAAACTTTTAAATGTAATTTATGTCATAAAGTTTTAAAGACAAGAATCACACTACTAAAACATTATGTATCAATGCACGAGAAAAGAAAACATCTTGGTAAAGTATCTGGGTTTGGTGCTTCAAGAAGATACCATTGTACATCATGCTCTTACTCTACACCTCACAGCCAGACCTTAGTCAGCCATATACGAACCCATAATGGAGAAAGACCATACAACTGTAGTCAATGTAGTAAGAGTTTTACACAGTCATCGAGTCTTGCAGCTCATAAAAAAACTCACAGCACTGCCACTTACTTTACATGCAGTTTATGTGGGAAGCAGTTCAAACATGCCTTCACTATGAAAAAACATATGCGGGTCCATGAAAATGCAAGCTTTGCTTGCAGTATTTGTATGAAAACTTTAAAATCAAAGGAAACTCTACAAGCACATATGCATAGGCATTTAAAAATCCGTAATTACAACTGTGAAGATTGTGGTTCCACATTTGTCACATCTGCAGAATTACATAATCACAGAAAAAACCATAGTTTAGAAAAGAAATTGCAGTGCCATCTGTGTGGATACAAGACACATACTAAGAAGAATTTGATTATGCATTTGAAGAGGTATTGATACTGCTATTAAATAATTTTTAACATAAAAAACCGACTTTGTTCAAAGTAATACATATTTTCATGTAGTTAAATAGAAAATAATAACTATTTTATAATTTTAAAGTTGGTGGCAAGTAAAACAATTACCTATAGTATAAAGATATTACCTACTCTTGCTAGTTTGATGATTAGTAGTATATTTTTCTAATGCTGTTTTTAGTTTGTAGGATTTACTTGGCATGTATGTACGTGCAAAGTTTTCATCGATATAAATGAATTAAGTCCAAACATGAGGAAGTAACTGTAAACCGTTCAGGAGTTCCCTAAGCTGTCCTTCGTTCTCATCATCAGACCCTGAATGACAGTCACGACCAATCTCAGTGCAAAGTGCTAACCAATATGAATCATTCAAGCCCAAACACAAGGCAACTACTCCAAATAGTCAAGGAGATCCCTAGACTGTCTTCCGGCTCCATCATCAGGTCGAGTTCGAACATGGGCAAGTTGTAGCGTTGTAAAGAGCCTACTAAAAGCACATGCCAAAGCACTACTCGCCCCTACAATATTGAAAGTTCTCCTCGATTTCTCTGGTCATCCATCATCAGATCCTGTTTTCCTTATCATGGGACCATTCTGAGATCTTCTTTCTTTACAACAATAAAAGAATTATCAAAATTGATTCATTAATAACAGAGATATCGGCGAACAAACATAGAAAAAAGCATATATACAGTCGAACTGAGAACTGTCCTCCTTTTTGGAAGTCTGTTAAAAAGTAGTAAATATTGTATTCATGTTAACAAGGGACTAAGTTCTTTATTTTTATTTCAGACACACTGGAAACAGAACTTTCAAATGTGATATGTGTCATGTAGGATTCTACACACAGAGCAATCTCAGGCGACACATGAGAGTGCACACTGGCGATAAACCATACTCCTGTCCTACATGCAGCCAAAAGTTTAGTTATAGTCCAAGTCTTAATAAACACATGAAAACCATACATGGAGTTGACTACAAATGGAAAGACTGGAAAGAGACAATAGTAAAGTTTGTAGACAAGACTGATGGAAATATACCTACATCATCAAAATAATTGATATGAAATAAAACACAATTTAAACATACAAATTTATTTTGAATGCCAAAGCACATACATAAATCCTAGTATGCTACCCTAAATACCTAAATTCCAAACATTGTTTTGATGTCTAGAGAATAAAAATCCATGTCAAACAATTCAAGTCTTACTATAAATAATATTTTAGAAAGCTTTCATGTTCAATGTCATAATATAATTTGTGAAAACGAATATCCCAGGTATTTGGCCCATTCAGGCAAATATAAGTCTGTTATTTGACCTGGTTTTTATTAATATTTAGCTATTCAAAGTTGATAAAGAAATAAGAATATTGTAAAAGTACATTTTATCCTTAACTGTAGGTATACTTTAAGTTAGTCCCAGAAAACGCCACATGCAAGCACCAGTACCTTCTTCGTGTGTTTTTGGGACACCACAATATTTCATTACTATTACTACTAACTACTTACTAATTACTAACAAATAGTTACCATAAGTGCAACTACTTGAAATATCCTAACTCCCTTCTGTTAACTGAAGTAAACATGTATTATTTTTTAAATAGATGAGATAATTTATTATACAAGAAATCATTTTTGGAAGAATAACATTTTAAATGTCAATAATAATGTCAACTGATAATTATTCCATTACATCAAGCAATATAGTTGAATCTTGTCTATTAGTAAATCTATGAATTTAATTTGGCTTATTAAATATTTCCTAACATGATTGATCAAGTGTTTGTTAGTTACTAGAAGGGCAATGAGTTGAGTTTAATCCTCCTCATAATCTTCGTCCTCTGAGACACACTTTCGTGGTTTCCGCTTCCTCGATGGTGTGCTTTTGCTTTTGCCCTTCAACTTGATCTTCATTTTGACAGAGCGGTTAGATTCTCCATCCGAATCTTCATCATCTAAGAGTATTTAAAAAATATACATATACAATTTAATGGTTTTGACTAACATATTTTATATAATGAGTTAATTAAAAACATTATGAGTAAAGTATAAATACAAGAGTTCATCATGTATCAGCAGGGAGTTGATAATCGTGGAATGGTGAAATGCTTATCGGTTTATATATACTTGAAGTAAATTGACACGACTCGCAACAAATTGGTATTACATATTTATATACTTTGTGTTGCGTGTCGTGTTTGATAAATTTTCTTTACTAACCTTTATCATTATCATCAGAGTCGTCAGAATTTTGTCCGCTCTCATAGCGACGCCGTATTTCAATAAATGCGTTGCGAAGACGCACTGAGTCCGCGTATATCAAGGACTGCTCCTCGTTGTATGTCTGAGCGTTAGCGCACAACGTGAAGAAATCACGTTCGAGATCCGATATATCATTATACTGTTAAAAAATATCAAAAATTACATACATAAAGTCTGGCCTTTGTCCTACAGGAATGGGCAGAAACGACAGACACAAAATAATTTATTATAGGTTTTACCTTGCCATCTTCGATTCTGTTCATGATTTTTTTAATGTCTAAAGGTTTCTTGATAATATCATAGTAATCTGGCAATTCGCGGCGTGACGGAAGCTTCATGAATGGCTCAGATAAAACACGGCCGCTGTAAAATTTTAAAATATTAAATTAGCTAACATACTAGCAAATTAACCTTTTGATGCCTGCTGTGAGACAATAAAAAATTCGTTGTCACATTCAGGTTCACCCAATCGAATCGAAGGTTCTGAGGTAGTAGACAAAACAGTCGCATTGAGAGCCTCACCCCTTTTTTAGGGTCGAAAAACTTAAGTACAGTACTCACTCATCTTTAGCTGTATAATCTATAACTTTCTTCATAATAATCTTCAATCGTTTCTTTGTTTGGTTAATTTCCGTCTTACTCTTCTTTTTTGAGGAACTCGGTGCCTCTTCTTCATCAGATTCCTCTGGACGGCTAAAACAATGAATAAGTAAGTTTACAACTTTCACATATTATGTTTTACTAACTTCCACCCGCGGCTTAGTACGTGTATGAAAAATGTATCCAGTGATTTCAAAAACAGCAACGTCTAAAACAACATCTCGGCTAAAATACGCATATCAAGTATAATTTATAGCCTATAATAGCACTCAGGAACATTGAGCTAGCTATCAGTGAAAGAATTTTGCAAATTCGAAAGATTATCCCCTTAGCGATTCCAAAGATTATCTAGAAATAGTTAGTAGGATATACTAGAAATAGCTCTGTTTGTTAAGGCAAACTCAAGTCGCTTTAGACGTCTAGCTGATGTAGTTGTACGAAACAGACGCGATAGCAGCGTGCTGTGTTTGCAGTCAGCCAAAACTGCACTTATGCGCAAGAGTGTCTTTTGCATGGCTCCAAAAATCTTTAATAAAATACCAAAAAAGTGGAAAGAATTGCCGTTCCTATTATTTAAAAAAAGGCTTCGTAGCTTTTTAGTAATGAAAGCATATTATAACATAAACGAGTTTCTAAATGAAAAAGATTTTATATGTCATTGTTAACCTGCTTCAGTTTATGTCTAACTTAAAGTGTAAATTGCTATTGAATTATATTGTTATTAGGTTATTAGTCTGTATTAAGTTTCTATTTTTGCTGTAGATTGTTTTAATTTTTTTTTTTTATTTAACTTATCGAGCAATGTTTGTACATTTTGCATGCCCAATGGTAAAATATGGCTGTGCTTGTTAAAAAATTTGTCATCTTGATTGTTACCCATATTTGCGAAATAAATATATCTTTATCCCTCCACGTACAACCTTACAAGTAGGTACCTCTGTATAATGTTACAGTACACTCCTTACAGTCACCCCCCCACCCCTTATGCCCCCTTACTGCTCCAAGCCGAAGCCGAGGTACCTAATTGAGATTGTCCCGCAACCCCTACTGAACATCGGTCCTGTTGGGTCTCGTCTATTTGAGCAGGCTTTAAGATAACAATTTATCTAGAAATTAACTAGTTGAAAAAACATGATGACTAGACTTAAACAATGGTTCCATAAGAAATATTCTTACCGTCGTTTACGTCCTTTCTTCCGTTTCTTGTCAAGAACTTCATCGTCGTCATCTTCTTCTTCTTCCTCTTCAAATTCATCATCAATGGCCTTTAGCCACTCCTTCTCCGTAAGCGAGTCTGTATAGTCCACTTCCTTGCGTTGTCGTGAACCACGCCCTAGCGTCTCGTCTTCGTCTAGATAGTTCCAGCCTTGCCCCTAAACATACACTTTCTCTTTTTAACGTAGAATATTGCATAGCATACGCATTGTTCTAAAAATTATACTATAAGAATATTCGGAACAGAGTGTGCAATTATAGTTGCGAGCATTTGTGCACTATAACATCTACTATGTGTTAGTTGAAATAGTAAGACAGACTGGTAATCGAAATTCATTGGGGAGAGTTATAAATCCATATGATCCAACTTACAGAAAAATACGTTTTTGACAAACCTTATTGCAAACAACTTCGTCTTCATTTTTAACGAGCCAATCAGGTAACTCGGACTCCTCAATAAGTCGAGATTGTGTTTCATTCTTTTTACGCTCAATGTCAATCTGCTTGAAAATTTCCAACTCTTCCTCGGACCTTGCTATCATCTCATTGATTAAATCATCATCGGGGAGTTCATTCTCCTCCTACAAAAAATCAAAGGATTAAAATGTAAACCAACCAACAAAATATTAAATGAATATCTAAATAAAATATGTTAAATATAAACCTCTTCATCATCTCCATCTTGGTGCAAAATGCTCTGAAGGAACTGTTGACGCTCAGAGCCTGTCGACTTCTGATCGAACATACCAGCTTGAATGACTTTCTCGTCCATGTTTAATTTGTACCTAAACAAAACAATTTCACCGATTGAAATTCTATTCAAATATGAAAGAAAAATATTTTTCCGAATTTAGATTGATATGATTACCTAGCTGCTGCCAGAATTCTTTCCTCTACTGAGTTGACAGTCATCAATCTAAGGACTCGCACTTCGTTACGTTGTCCGATACGATGGGCACGATCTTGCGCTTGGAGATCCTATTAAGACGAAGTCAATTATTAATTAATTACAGTTGCAGATAAAATTTTACTTATTTTAATGTATTATATGGCACCTGATGTGGATTCCAGTCGGAGTCGAATATGATAACGGTGTCAGCACTCTGCAGATTGAGACCGAGACCACCGGCGCGGGTCGAAAGCAAGAAGATGAAATAATCTGAGCCCACGTCGTTAAACTTCTTAAGCAGTTCGCCACGATCCTCAGCTTTTGTCATACCATCCAATCTGTGATAAATCAAGAATTACTAAAATAATTGCTTGAATGTATTTTATTATAATAAAAACCGAAACTACTGGCTAAAAGTGCATTTCTCTTAATTTTAGAGAACTTTATATGCATTTTTTACTTTGAAATTCTCACCTCAAATATTGGAAAGCTCTCCAGGAGAGATAGTCTTCAATGATAGTCATGCACTGGGTCATTTGACAAAACACTAGAACTCTGTGTCCAGTGGCTTTCAACTTTGGTAATATACGATCAAGAAGTTCGAATTTACCAGATACTCGGTATAGGTCCGGCCTGCAAATAAAAAAGATCATGATTAATATTATGTAAATTAACATATACTATACTAGTTCTTGCAAAAATAATATATGGATAAATAATGTAATATATATGTCGAATTTCAGACTGTAAATTTATTTCTGAGCATAATTTCATACAGATCTGCTTAGCTAATAGATGTGAATGTGGAAAATGTGAAACATTCCACATTTATGTATAACGAAATACAAATAACGATAGTTATTTGCATTAACTTACCCTGAGACCACACCACCACCTGTACCAATATGGTCACAGAACTTCTCCTCAATGTGTTGGAACATGAATGGGTGGTTGCAAAGCTTGCGCAGCTGTACGATGGTGTTCATTAGCGCTTTAGCACCGCCTTTACCTTTGTTGCCCTTCTCTGAGCCATCAGTCAACAGCACTCCCTTCGACTGCATATGTCTGCACGAAAATGAATGATGATCTATTTACCAGATTTGAATTTACAATATTTGTATGAATTGAAGAAAAGAACTTGCTTTTATGTTGCCTTTATGTTTGTCAAAATATACTTGAGCACATTTTTCAAACATCTGATAAAATTAACTGAGAAGTTGTTCTAGCAAACTGGATATAGCTAGTATATAGTAGCTATAGTATAGTAGTTCTAGCTAATAAGTTTTCAAATAAATATTGGACTCACTTGTACAAAACTCGTTGTAGCCCACTCATGTCACACTTGATAATGTATTCCACCTTGTCAGGCAGTTGGCTCTCCACTTCTTTTTTGAGCCTACGCAGCAAGAAGGGGCGCAGCACTTTGTGCAGACGACGGATGATAAGGATTGTTTCTTCCTCGTTTAGTTCAACCTGGATAAGTTTTAGAACAGAGTTATAACATTTTATTGAAAAAAAAATACAGTTGCATTCATTTTAAGAAAACAATATTCTAGAAAAAAAAAATCTCTCACCTTTTCACCAGTGGTAGCAAAAGGCGCGTTGAACCACTGTTCGAATGTAGAGCAACTCTTGAAGATTGAGGGAAGCAAGAAGTTCAACAGCGCCCACAATTCCGGCAACTTGTTCTGTAGCGGGGTACCGGTCAGAAGTAAGCGGTGCGGTGCTATATAGTGCGTGTTCAATACTTGTGTCAGTTTGCAATGATGGTTTTTCATACGATGACCCTCGTCGATTATCATATACTTCCATTGTACCTGAGAAAATCCACAGATCAGTCAAGCTCTTAAACAAATGTTTCATATAATGCATTATTCAGTTATTTTACCTTAGCCAGTACAGCCTTATCCTTGATAACATATTCATAAGTCGTAAGCAGTACATTGAATTTAGTAGATCTCATTTGTGCTTGTACAAGGCGACGCGATTGAGGAGATCCCTTGTAGGACACCACTGACACCGTCGGCGCCCACTTTTCAAACTCCAACACCCAATTAGATAGAGTACTGAAATCACACGTTAGATGAAAGTCTCAATGACAGGCAATTTATCTTCAACAAAAACTTAGTGATAAATTTTGTATTTGAATCTGCTTGTGCATTTTTCAGGTATTAATGGTGATGTTATCGACATTTTGCTAATTATTACAGTTCCATATTATTAATATACCTGACTATTACTATCTAATAAAATGAAGGGTAGTGCAATATACAAATTAATATCTATCCATAGTTAGTAAAGTTATTACCTCAATGGTACAATAATGAGGAAAGGTCCATTAACTTTTTTCTTCTCCATCAGATACGTGACCAATGCTATAGTTTGGATGGTCTTACCCAGGCCCATCTCGTCTGCTAAAATGCCGTTCAGATTATTATTGAACAAAGATACCAGCCACTCCAGACCCTAGAAACATTATAAAATATATGTAGATTATACAATACCCATAAAACTATTATTTTGTATTGTTATTTTTTACCTTGATTTGATATTCCTTAAGTTTTCCGTTAACAAGGATGTTGGCTTGTTCAGTAACAGACTCGTGGACTGTGTGTGCAATGCTGAAAAAAATATACGAAGACATGTTTATTACTTTCTGTAATATACATATATACAATAGTATACACATTTTCCACACCAACATTTTAGAACCAAACCATTTAACATGCCGCTAATAAAATCAGGCAACAACAAACCTGTAATAAGTCTGTTCTTCTGTCTTATATTCATCGTCTTCGACCTTTGCCTTCTTGATCATTTCCCGCGCTTTCTCTTCTTCAGTCTTTTCTTTGTCACTTCTCTCATCTCTGTGTCCTTTTCTCTTTTCTATGATAGTAAATTATAATAATTATTGCCTGTTTAAAATAAGACTTTATTTGTTAGTTATAGTAACTAAGTAATTACCATCATCGTCTTGGCTGTCATCTCCAGAGTCCTCAGAGTCAGACATCACCTCCCAGCCTGGATGAGTCTCCATCCAGTCCTTCAGCTGAGATAACAATGGCGCTTCTTCTCCCCTCAATATCTATTTGTAAATGAAAGTTACAAACTACTGTAAGTACCAATTACGAATTATATTCTTAACCACAATAATAAGATGCAGTTGGTATATGTCAAAGATTTACCTCGCCAGTTTTAGGGTCCATTACGTTAACGCGCGAGTCTGATGTTTGCGAGCTGTCATCCAATGCATCGATCTCGCCACCTTCCAGCAACTTCTTTTTTCTCGATTTCTGCAAAGACAATTTATTTTAATAAGTATTTGTCCTGTATTGTATAAAACTTTCTAAAGTGTTTCCTAACAATCAACAACTAATTTCATTTCGAAAAGAAAGAGACAGTTAGTTATGTGCATATGTGCTAAAGTAAATTGATTGAGACCTTACCCTTTTCCTACGCTCTTCTTCCTGTTGTTTTTTACGTTGCTCCTGCTTATGTTGCTTAACCATCTCCGTAAGGCTGGCAATGTACTCATCGGTCTGCGACAGAAGGAATGCCAAGCGCTTGTCTTTCTTCTGATCGATAAGTTTTCGATATCCCTCTTCATCTTCCGCCATCAAACTAGAATAAATAACAAGCATAAATTAGTATACTAACTTTTATTACCACAACCTCTATAATTTTTATAATTCAATGTCGAGTGTATAAAAAGTCTCAATATTGTGTATGGAGATCTTCTTTCAAATATTGTTTTTAAAAACCCACCGTCTCATACGTTCTTTTTCAATACGCTCCTGTTCCTTCTTCTGTTCCCGCTCGGCATTAGCATGGTGGTTCATGATAGCCTTGTTCATACGCGACAGCTTCGCTATGTTGTTACGATGGTATTCCTTAAAGTCCTTGGCTGCAATAAAATTTAACAGCATTGTTAATATTAAATTTAGTTGTGAGGATTTATGATACTTATTTTTATGGTGTTTTTTATGATAGTTATATATAATAAGATGCACATTTCAATCCGTGTTAAATTGTTAGACTGACCATGTTGTAGTACAGTCTGCAAGAACTCTTGGTGTTTCTGTCGCCGTTTCCGCTCTGCCTCCAGTTTCTGTTGTTTCTCCAACTTTTCTGTCGCTCGAGCTTCTCGCAGACCTTGTCGCTTCGTACGCTTATACGCTTTGATGTTCACTGCTGTTTCTAATGTCGTATCGCGACGGACTTGACCCAGAATCTGTTTGGAATACAGACACGTTGTTTAACTACGGGCGTTCTTGACAACTGGTAAAGTTGTAGCGTATTGTTTTTATAAAATACGCACCTCAGAACGTAATTGTTTCTGGAAGTTGAGCACTCGAAGAGCCCTGAGCTCAATTTGTGCTTGCAGACGGAGATCATCGGGCATATTGGCTGGCAGGTTAGAAAGCAATTCGATGCGATGGGCGATGCGTGCAGCAATCCTAAAATAAATTATGAGTTAAACAGCATTTCAATTATTTGATAATAACATAAAATTTAAAGATTTGATTGTAAATTTACCTATTTTCTCGTTCATTTAAAATCTGTAGAGGATCAATGCCCACAGGTTTGGGCATGCTGGTGATACGATTTTGCTTAGTTCCTGGTATTGGTACCCCTGGCTGAAATAAAAAAAATATAATGCACGAATTAGTCTTTTTTATGTGATAGGTCGGCAAACCAGCAAACGCATTACTTGATGGTAAGCAATCAGCGCCGCCCATGGATACCTTAACGACCTGTGGTAACGACGCACGGAGGAGTAACGAGTGCGTTGCCGTTACCTTTTGGGGATTAGGGATTTGAAGATTTTGGGAATTAGGAGGGATTGGAGGAAGGGAAGGATTGGGCCTACAGTAACCTCACTCACACGGCGAAACACAACGCTGTGGTTGTTTCACGCCGGTTTTCTGTGAGGCCGTGGTATCACTCCGGTCAAGCCGACCTATTCGTGCCGAAGTGTGGCTCTCCCACACTTTACAAAACTTAACCGCAGTTTATAAAACTTAACAAATAACTGAACGAATGTTGACTTTATTATGAAGCAAATTTACCTGATGTTGAGGCTGCGTGCCTGGAGCTTGTGGACGCAGTGGTGCCGGTCCACGTAAAGGTGGTCCCCCACTTACAGGCTAAAAGTAAATGAAATTGTATTGTTTATATATTATTGATATTGTGCAAGTATAAATAGTTTTACACTTATCCAATATGTCATTTTATAATACAGTAAATTAGCTTACAGGATTTACTAAAGGTGGAGTTAGTTGTGTTGGAGGTGCCATCTGCCCGGTCATAGGAAGCGGTGTGGGAGGAGCCCCACCGCCGCCGCGGGCTGCGTCTCCAGCTGCGCCGCCGGCCCCCGCCTTGCCACCCGTGGCGCTGAGCCCGCCGAGCCCAGCCGCAGAACTAGGGGGTGCGCCCTGCCCCTCACCGTAAGGGGGCTGAGCTGGCGGAGTTGGGCACTCTGGCGGCGTCTCGCCTGTGCGCTTGCCGGACGCCATCATGGCTATCTGCTGCGACAGTGGCTGATTTCTTGCAAGGCTTCGGTATGCTGTTATTTGAGCCCTATAATGACCATTATTGACTATAATAACCGCATCCAACAATTTATTAGATATGAGATTTAAAATTTTATTGAAATAAGGCTTACTTGAGCTGGCAGAGCTGATTGTTGCTAAACAATCCCTTGCTAGGGTCCTGGCCAGGGTTTGACCGTGCTCGCAGTGCTAACAACTGCGAAAATCTTGGATCTTCTTGGAGGCCTTTCTCCTCCATAGAGTCGATAGTTCGTTGAATGGCGTGCAGGTTATCAGGGCCGGGGGCTGGTAGTGAACCCTGCATTGGAGATGACGCTGGAGGAGGGCCGTTAGCCGATGAAGTTGGTGGTGGTTGTCCGTGCGGAGGTGTCTGAGCAGCTGGAGGATGTGGAGGAGCACCACCCTGAGGCGGAGCACTAGGCGGAGCTCCAGAGGGGGACGCTGCAGGGCCTCCAGCAGCTCCGGAAGGAGGAACGTGACCGTAACCAGGTGAAGCAGCGTGCGGTGGAGGGCCTTGACCTGGCATCATCGGATGGTGCGAAGACATGTGACCTGGAGTGGCAGGCGGCATTCCCTGCGGATGTACTCCGTGCGGCGGTGGGCCCGATAGAGGCAAAGGTACGCCTGGAGCTCCAGGCGGACCCTGCGGGCCATTACCAGGAGGTGGTCCTCCGCCCATTGGCATTGGTGCCTACAAGTAAGAATTCGTAATGATAACTCATTATAATTGATTTGGTTGATTATGCATTTGATTTGACTAATTTTTCTATTTGATCTTAATTTCATTCTCTAAATTTTAGATATATGGTATAAAAAATTTAGAGAATGAAAATGTTAGATGTATAAATTGGATGGTATCAATAGAAGTTAATTACAGCTGTTGAGCAATAATTCTACAAATATAATATAATTATGGTCGATTGAATTTATAAAAGCTATCTTTATATCACACAACCATGGCCTAATTGAATAATAGCATAAATATATGTGGATAATAATTTGTGTCCAAGTTCAATGGAAAATGTTAATTTTTCTAAATATTTATTTTTGTCTTTTATTTATTCAAGAACAATCAGCACAAATTACAAAACAAAAACAGAGATTTGAAAACTGTACGATTTATGAAGTGACAGCTTTTAACACTCGAGAAAGGGCATTATTGTATTATCTTTATGTAAAAAATGAAATGCTAGTGTTTCTTAATGGAATCACAAATGAAGCAGCCGTATCAATGGATGTTGTTGTGGATAAATGTTGCACAACATTCTTTGAAGAAAAATTGACCAATGATGACATAGAATTTGTTAAAATAAATGAAAAGTTCTTGTAAGACTAGTGTGCTGTTGTTTGATGTCAAACTTGAAATAAGTATAAATATCTGTACCCTTATATCTATATTATATTCCACAGGATTAATAGTAAAGAAAATCTTTATATTCCAAACCTTTGGAATGGCACATATACTCCAAATATAACAAAAACATTTTATTATTGGAATGCACTCAAATTTTGGATTGACTCAAAAGTCAAACATTTTCCAAAATTAACAAAAATCAAAATAGGTGAAACTTATGAAAAAAGAGAAATAATTGTATTAAAAATATCCAGTGGACATAAAAAGTCAGCTGTATTTCTTTTAGGGGGGGAAGAAGGACGAGACAGGATGTCTTCAGCTATACTTTTAAATTTTATTGACTACATGTTGCAACATAAATTAAATGTAGATATGCTGCTAAAACATCATGATTTCTATATTCTGCCAATGCTTAATCCTGATGGTCATGATTACAACATGAAAGTAACTACTAAAACTAATAACATTTCAATTAAACTAATAATAGTCAGGTCAGAAATAATGTAAAACGCATTCCAGGAATTTGTTTGGTCGAGGAATAGAAATGTTTATTTTCCCAAGAAAAAATGTCCCAAGAATTTAACAGCCATTGGTATTAATTTGGATAGAAATTGGTATTTAAGCAAAGAAACATGTAAGCAAAACATTTAAGCTCTGGTTCACATTTTACTAATAATATTATATTAATAAAATGTTTCTATCATATTTTCAGTAAGAAATGATGAATGTGATCCAGTTTTCTCAGGTTCTAAATCTTTATCTGAAGAGGAAACTTCCAGCTTGGCAATTTTTTTAAATAAATATTCTCTTGAAATATTAGCTTTCATCAATATCAGGTCTTTTAACAACCTTGTGACTATACCCTATGGATATACTACAGAACAAGCTAATAACTACCCCATTTTGGTAACATTTATACTTCTTTCATTTTCCAAGCAAGCTTGTAAACAATAACTTAATAGGATTGCATTCTTTCTAATAATAAACTGAATTATTTTCCTAGATGGAAATTATGACTTCTGTCCATGAAAAAGTAAAAGAGGAGCATAGTAAGTCTTTTTTCTATGGTGCTACTTCTGCTTTTTTCTGTAAGTATAATGGTATGGTACTTTTTTCAAAAATTATATAAAAAGGAATTTAAAAAAATTGATGTCTTTTAGAGTTGAAGGTGGTTACTGTTTTGTTTTGATTTAGATAATTACTCCGGTAATGTAGCTGATTGGGTAAAGAAAAAACTGAACACACCTATTGTCTATACCATATATATGAAGAATGTGGAAAATCTTTATGCTAGTCCTGATGATATCCAGCCAATGACTGATAGGTTTTGTACTATGATAAAGGAAATTTTACTACTTGGAAATAGTATTTACAGTCCACTATTTAATAACCAGATAACACATTGCTTACAGCTCTATGTCATATTCATAAATATTATATTAAATGTACTACAGTAAATAACATACTTAATAATGTTCATTTTCATTCAAGATCATAACATTTACATTTTATATACTCATGTCAGTTCAGAGATAAATAAAATCTATATTTATTTTGCCTATATTTCATTACCTATTTAATTTATCAAAAGTTTTTAGTAAGATCGTTTCAGAAATACCAAATAATATTTACCTGCCCGGGTGGCATATGGCCAATTTGGTGTTGCATGTACCCATGAGGTGGACCTTGTCCAGGCATAATTGGATGTTGTGGTGCTCCAGGGTGGCCATTGGGCCCAGGTGGGTGAGCTCCTCCAGGACCAATCGGATGGCCGGGTGGCCCTGGCATATGTGGGCCAACCATGTGAGGAGGCATCTGATGTCCAGTCGGTGGCATTCCAGAATGCTGCTGAGGTACACCAGGAGGTCCATTAGAATTTGATGCTATAGAATGCGGTGGACCTGATGGTGACATATGATTAGGCATCGGCGGCTGTCCGGCGCCAGGAGGGTGAGACGGGGGCGGTCCATTGACATGTTGTTGGTTGTAGGGGCTATGCGGAGACTGTGGCGGTGCCGGGCTCTGAGTCGGCGGTCCCATAGGGCTAGGTGCCTGCGGTGGCGGCATCGGACTGCTTTGAGGTGACGGGCTAGCCATCTCTTCAAAATAATTACTACTGAATGCACATATCAAACGGATTTACACCAAACAGTTACGCACGCTAACACGGTTCAGAGACTAAACGAATGTTTATGGTAGTTCACGTCACTTCAACACACAAGTTCGTATGTTATTAAAAGCTGGCTATGAAGCAGTTTCGCGTTAGTTGTAAAAGTATCGATGACGAGAAAATTCTATAGGTATAAAATCTTAAATAAACTAATACAACATCCCAATCAATGCACTTTCAGAACAATGTTGCCAGTTACCATTAGAGATAATTAACTTAACACTAGCCACTATAATATTTTTTGTCGTTGTGCAAAACAAAATTGTAGATTTTATCCAAGTTTAAAATAAACCAAGGAATATATAGTTTTTTTGTGTGTCTGTGTGTTCAAACCAAAATTTTACGATAATATTTTAAATAATTCCAAGCACAGAAAAACTACTTTAATTTACTTTTTTTACTGGCAATTGCAACAAGATTTATGTCAACGACTCCTTTGGCTTAAAGAACTTGTATCCGGGCTATAAACACCAAAAAAAAATGTCCACGACTCCGTTTTGTACAAAGTTAGGTTTTAGGTTTGTAGAGTTAGGTGCAAAAGTAAATAGGTATTCTGTGGTCACGGAACAACCACCAAGAATTCCCTCTGCTTGGTTTCAAGCTTGTCGGAATAAAGATCATATCAAGATATTCAACTATTCCTGTTTATAAGTACTAATATTAGCTTTTTATTTAGAAATATTAACTTTTTTAAAACGGTCGCAGAATAAAAAGATTATTTTGATGTGTTTATAAAAATGTCCAACTTCATTAACAAATAAGAAAAAAATAATAAAGAAAACGCACCCTTTGGGTTTGTTCCGGTGTTGTAGGTGTATTTACCCATAAAACATACAGATTCATATACCTCATACTTAGATCCAGAACTAAAATTCGTAGATTACCTCCCCTATATTACTTTACTCTTTGTAGATTACTCAAAAACTGGTTATGCGCAGGAATCGAAGTCGCTATGCATTGACAGGCAGCTTTTGAAGACATTCGTATGGTACAAATAGTTCCACTCCTCTTCATTGAGATAGAAAATATATAGAGGCGCCGTGTTACTATAGAAGTATACATGCTTATACAAATATGAGGGAAATATGAAACAAACTATGAAATATCATTTTTGCTCACTCTTTCTAAGGCAATAATTGTATTAGACAAAAGGGACAACAATATTTAAGTTGTTGCTTAATATGGAAACAAATCATTTTGACATTAGCAAAGTTGTAGGTAAGTGCCATGTCCGCCATCTTAAGCGCTCAGAGTACCTGAGTTTCATGGTAGTTGTGCTGTCAAACGGTTGTTTATGTTCTAAATTATTGCGGTTTTTCAGTAAATTACAAAGAACCATTTTTTTTAAACTTCAAATATATATAGTGAAACAAAAAAACAATATGCCTGTGTGTTGTATTGTGCAGTGTGGTGCAAAAAAGAACGAAAATCAACCTCAATTGTCTTTGTATAGGTTAGTAAACAGTTTTCATCAAATATTACTTAGAATAATCCACATAGATAGAAAAAAATGTCACGGATACTTTAATCTATTGCCAAAGTATATATATTTACTTTTATTTCTGTCTGTGAGACAGTTTTAGTAAAAAATTGTTGTTTACAATTATATGTCAATATGGCATAGTTACGTACCATTTCACAAAAGTATCGATATAATCTCCCATTTAAAATTCAACATATATTATACTAAATAATCTATTTCAACAATGGATGTCTCCGCAGTTTTGTGTAACGCTAAAGTAAGACGTCAGTATTTTGGTATTGGTTTTAGTTACATAAGTAGAAGTTCAAATTATCATGTTTTATAATTATACGGGCGCGATTGACAGAGCGGCGTTGGCGACGATCCCAGTGCGACCACCAAGCGTAATAATAAAAAGTGAGATACATACAATAAGATTGACTTCACTACATATCTATTTTGTGCTAACGTAGTTTCGAAGATATCATCGCTTAATCAGACGCGCCGAAATTGTGCGCGAGCACTTCACAAATACCCACAGGTTTTCCACATATATAAAGATAAACATTTAACAAACACTATCTTTTTCTATTTCACCATTCCATTAAACGCTGTTCATAAACACACTCCTATTTTTTTAAATGACGCTTTACGTAGAATTGTATGAATTCAAATTCGACTTGAGAAAATCATTAGCCAATCAAGAGACCAAGTTAACCCCGGGTTCCGGGCTCTAGCTAGGCCGACGGCAAAGTAGGAACAGCAGTTGATTTTAGTCAGTAACGGTCTGTCCCGAAAAAGGCCGGAGATGACATTAGATGATTTCCCATAAAAAATACCGTTAATCAGCTGGCTAATCCCTAAAACTATACCTACGTAGAACTTTTACTCAAATTGTATCGATACTCGTTAAATACTTAGTCGGCACAACCCTAGCAACGGCAGCCATCTTATGCGACATTTTGGATTGTAGGTAGGCACCTTTTTTTCGTAGGTATTTCAAGTCCATATATTTCCTATGTCAATGCTCCTCTTTGTCATCTTAATTTTCTGACAAATGACATATTTGTCATTGTCACGACTTGTCAGCTTAGTAGTGTAGATAGGTACCTACCTAATTACCTGAATATGGTAAATATGTGGGTACCTGGTACTGGCTAACTACATGTTTTGCGTGATTGAAATGCGAAGGAATCGTGTATAAGATATCAAATCAAATACTGTTTGTATCGTGCTAAAGAACAAGAACGAGTCAAGCACAAAATTTATCAACTATTTAATGTGAATAGTGCTCTAATGGAATTATTTTGACAAAACAAAGAAGCCGGCGTGGTGGCATTGGTAAAACATGAATGAAGAAGAAGAGTATAATGAAAGTGCTTGGACCTACATGCTACTGTGTGTGGAACCAACTGTATATGAAGGTTTCCGATTTGTCAGGGATTTACTTTTCGCTAATGTTGCTCTTCGTCTCATGATCCAGTATATACCGCTACCTCACAACATTCGCCATAGTTTAAGTTTAGTTATTGGTAGTTTTCTTTTATATCATTGTATAGGTCCTCCATTTATCTGGACTGTCGGACTTACAGCTAGTGCCTATATTCTTATTATTTTATTATCATTTGTTACTAAAAAATGGAGAGGACTATTGGTATCTGTATTTGTTATTTCATTCCTGTTACTTTGTGAAGTTCATATACTCCACCCAAAACTATGGCAACAAATAAGAGGTATCCAGATGATAGCAGCTATGAAGATTATTTCTGTGGCTATAGAATTAGACAGAGATTTATTTAAAAAAATGCTTAACCCTGTGGAATTTGGAGGATATTTACTTTGCCCAGCAAATTCTGTTATTGGTCCATGGATATCATATCACCATTATAATAACTATCTTGAAGTTAAATTCCTTAACAAAACATGGGTTAAATTAATTGTTGTTGACCTTCTTGTATCAATATTTTTCTTGACTTTGTCTAATTGTGTAGTACCATGGTATATTGATGATTCACTGCCAAAGTGGTTAATAGCTTATAGAGATGCACAAGCTTTTAGAATGTCTCACTATTTTATATCCAGGATGTCTATGCTTTCAATGACAAGTGCAGGATTTGGACTAACAAATGATTGTCGATCTGAAGTCCAGGTCACCAAACCATTTTTTATTGAATTGCCAAGGTCTCTGGTCCAAGTAGTAATTTATTGGAACATTCCTATGCATCAATGGTTGAAACATTATGTATTTAAAACTTGCCAACCATATGGTAAATTTTTTGCTATATTTATCACATATGCTGTGTCATCATTGCTTCATGGATGGAACTTCCAGTTTTCAGCTGTGCTTCTTAGTATAGGCACATTCTCATATATTGAGTATAATATACGGCTGAAAGTAGCACAAACATTTGAGGTGTGTTGCTTAGCAAACCCTTGTGTTAAACAATGTGATCACAAACATAAGAAGAACAGTATACTGGCCTTAATTACTAACACAATATTTTCTATAATAACTATCATACACCTGGCTTATTTAGGTGTAATGTTTGAAGCATCATTTTCTGTACAAGAATCAGGTTATTCATACTTTCACACAATAAGTAAATGGGAAAATCTGGATTATTTCAGTCATATTCTTGCAGGGTTTTTGTATGTCATTTATGTACTTATTTAAGTAAAGTAATTAAATACTGAAATAAAGCATAGAAAATAAGTAGCTTCTGAATCTCGACTTGATCTCTTATAGTATTTTAATTTTTTTTATATAGAAATTAAATTACTACTATACAAAAAAATATTACTATCTATAAATTAGATCTATCATTTTTAAAACCTTTTTTCTGTCTTTAATATTATTGAATGTTAGATGTACTTCTAAAAGTAAATAATGGAAATGGCAAAATCATCAATCATATCATTAAAAAGTTTATATGGTAAAACGGGGTGAATAGAATTCGAGGGGCGAATAGACACAGAAGAGGGGTGAATAGATACTAGGAAAATTCACCAACATCTATTCACCCCTTTCACAAATCCTTTCCCCCTGTTTTGACTTGTATGTTTTCATTTAATAAACAAAACCATGAGTACTATCAGGGATTGTGGGACTTTATTTTAACCTTTCAATTTGTGTTTATTAGAAACACAACATATTAGTATTTAAGATTTCAATGCTTGTTTCTTCTGGCACATAAATGCACTAAATATTAGCATAAAATACTAGATGCAATTATTATTAACTTTTTACTTCATTTTTTATAAGTAGGGTCACTAAGTATCTGATTCAATAAACAGATATAATATTTTTTTACGTTATGTGTAATCGAGTATAGAAGTTCTAGGTTTCTGATCAAATATATTTTTTTATATTAAATATTTTATAAATTAAAAGAAAACACTGTTTGATGATTTATATCCAATTTATTTGATTGTCTTCTAAACTCATGTATTTGGGGTAACATAAGTTATTTGTTCTCACAATCAAGTTATATGACTTGGAGTTGTTACTCTCTACTAATACTCTATAATTTACTCCATCAATGAATTGAATGTTTGGATTGCCTGAATCTTTGTTTGAACTGAAATGTCTAGGTCTAGTATAAATTATTATTACTTTATGTTCTTTAATAACTTTTTGTATTATTTTAATTAAATTTCTGATGTACGAATCCATTTTTGTTATTTTAAATCCTTGCTCTGACCAGTAAAATGCTGTCAAATTATCAAATATTAGTAAAGAAATTTCATGATGTTTTGATAGTAAGTTGTCTAAGTTATGAATAGTTGTATACATCTGTGTTGTGTCATATATGTCTAGTATAAAAAAGTTATTCAGAGCTTTCTGAAGATGATCTTCCATTTCAGATGCTCCAATTCGTTTTTTCAAAGTTATAATGAGGTCTTCGTAGTTTAATTTTCCAATAGTGTTGAAAAGTAGTACACCAATTGGCTCAACATTCTTTTTGATGGGTAGTAAAGCTTCTGTAATCAAATCAATCAATAAATTTGAAGGGATTTCTTCACCAATTATTTCGACAACGTCATCTTGTTTCAATCCGGGTTGGAATAAATTTGAATAAAAGTTTTCAATAACTGGCTTCTTCGTTAATCTGGCTAACAGTTGAACTCCTGATTCAACTTTATACTTGATTGATGCCATTAAGTCAGTAACATCAGGTCTTTCTTAAAGTTACAAGATAATTAATTTATTTGTAAACAATGCATATCAAACGTAAAGGCAAGTAACACGATTACACGACCCGCGCTAAAGATCACAGAACATACTGCTTTGACTTGACACATTTACTGGTTTTTTTTTAAATCTCTCACGATATACACAAATAATATTTGTAATGGTAATGTATAACGTGAAACGTCTAAACTTCTGACATCTGTCAATCTAGCACACGTCAAGTCACATTGTTTTCAAAGTTGTAATCATTAGAACATCATTATTTGTAGAAGTAATAAACCAATTTTGCTACTAAGTAGAAAGAAATTGGTAAAATGAAACATATTAAACCATCTAATTAAAAGTATTCAGTGTTTATGTTAAACATACAAGTAAAATAATAATATAATACTTAAATTTTCTATCCTACTCAATATTCCCGCCTGTCAAGTCTTACCTTACAAAATGGAAATTAGAAATAACATTTTATTGTTTTCAATATTGTTAACTTTATTACAATGTGGATATTCGGAATTTATAACCATGTCTTTACTCGGTTCCGCCGCTGTAGCTGGTTTGTACCACAAATGGAGTACGATAAAAGATAATACATATTGTCGGTATGTGGAATGTTGCAATGATCAGCATGTGCCTTTCGATATTAATAGTGAGTAGATATCATTTGTTAATATTTTCAATAAATGTAACAATCCAATAATACAATTGGATCCACTTCTCATAACACATTTTACATTCAAATTGTGTTCTGCTTATTTTACAGAGTTGAAACTAACATTAACTCAAAAAATGTTTGGCCAACCATTAGTTGATGAGCTGGTTAATATATTACAAGCACACAAAGAAGCTGTAAATGATCCAAACAAAATCAACAAAAAGGCTTTAGTTATAAGCCTTCATGGATGGCCTGGTGTAGGTAAAAACTATGCAGCTACTATGATAGCTGAAGCACTTTATGCTAAAGGTATGCACAGTAAATATGTCAAGTTATATATGGGAAAAAAAGATTTTGACTGCTCAAACTTGCAGCAGAAAAAAGTAAGTATGAATTCAAATAATTTTAAACATGAATCAAACCATAAAGATATGAATAATGTGTAAAGTACCTACATAATCATTGCATTGAAATACTTGAGTTTTGACCAACCTAAAATCCTAGGGGTCTACCTAGGATTTTACTTTGGTCTCAGACCTGAATACCCAACATTATTAATAACTAATGGTTATTAACTTTAAAATATCTTTTCACAATGAGATTGTTTTATTTCAGGAAGATTTGGTAGCTACTTTAAATAGTATTGTAAGAAAATGTCCAAAATCACTTATTATATTTGATGAGATTCATGATATGTGCCCTTCAGTATTGGATACTATTAAACCTATGCTTGACCATCATCATGCTGTGGATGGTATTGATTATAGGTTAGTACAGGTACTAATAAAAAACCTACCACATAGAATCAACTGAAGGGAACAAATATTTTGTGGTTGGTGCTATTTTAAAGATTTTTGTTTCTGTTTTCAGAGATAGTATATTTATATTCATATCAAATATTGGAGGTCAAGAAATAGCAACAAAATTGTTGGAACTCTATGATCAAGGCGCAAAGCGGAATGATGTTGAATTTCATGACTTTGAGCCAATTATAAGGAGGACAGCATATTTCCAAGGTAATTAAAACGTTTACCATTTCATGACATATTGGGTGTTAGTCTGCTGTTTATGTTTTAACTTATTGAATGAATTATTTATTTTAGGTGGGTTTGAAAAGGCTGCTGCTATAGCAAATCACTTGATAGATCATTATGTGCCATTTTTACCACTGGAGCAACAACATGTAGAAATGTGTGCCCTTGCGGAGTTTAGATCTCATGCCATATACCACCCAACAAAGGAAATGATGGCGTAAGTTATTTATTTTCTATTATTATTATAATACAAGAACTTTAACTAACATTATTGTTTATTAGATGTGTTGTTGGTTCGAATATTAAAGCAAAAAAGGATATTGCTTTACAATATTCAATGATGGTCATTATTTCATTAATCTCCTTCATTAGAGATAATGATGAGAATCATCATCCTGAAGTGCTGAGCCAAGAAGCTTTCTTATGCAGAGACGGCTTGAATAATAAACACCACGCTCAAGGCAGATTTGGGATGCAAACTCATACCTAAAAATATAAGTTTACTTACAATGTGTCTAAATAAACTTACACATAACTCACATTGGTACTTTCAACTCCAGTTTCAAACCTGTAACCTCATAATTGAACCTCTCAACCATCAGGCCTCTGTAACGTAACATATGTCATTGACTCATGCTTATCAAAAGGAGGTATTTAATGGATACTAATTAGACCAATAAGTCAAATTATGGAGTTCAAGTAAAGTGAAACAACATAATTTAAATCAAATATATTATAATTATTTATGTACATTGAAGTGTTTAGTAAAATGATTTACAGTTTAAATCTTTACACATCTATTACAGGGAAGCTTTATCAGTTATAACATATGGCCCTAATGAAGACCAGCCAATATTTGCAAATAATGGATGCAAGCGATTCACAAGACACATTCCTTATGTAATACAAAAGAATAAACAGAAGACAGAGTTATAAACAACATTTACTGCACCTTGTGATATTTTCAACTGATATTTTGTTAATTCATTTAGCTTTAAACCTTTTTGTACAAAATAGTTGTATTTCTTAAAAAGAGAATGATAAATAATACAGGTGCATTTTTATATGCATTTGGTTAAGCTTTCAAACATCACATCAGGTTCTGATAAAGAGAAAAAAATCATGTACCTATTATTATTTATTTGTTGACTATGAAGTTGGTATACCCTTGGTATGTTACCTGAATCTCTTTTACATTTTTTAAATAATGATGTAAATAAAAGCTTAAGATAGACTAAGTGTTTTTGCAAGGTATTTGTATAAGGACTGTTCTCTCTCTCTGTAAATGTTGTTTTATATTCACTAAAAGTGACCACTGTCACATAGCAATAAAAGCCATTGATTACTACTGAGTCTTTGATTTCATCACACTAAACAAAACACTTATTTTAGTTTCTTAAAAAACACACATATGCAGGAAGTTATCTGGATAACTCAAATGTTCAGAAAGCCATTGTAGAGGTGTGTCAGATGGGATTACTATTCCATGCGTTCTTAGTTGTACTGAAAAAGAAAATATAAATGACTACATAAAATTGCAATATAATAAAATTACTTTATATGAATAAAATATATTTAAAATTTAAGATAAAGCAGTCAGTATAATACAAAGCATACGTACCATCAAGTTTATCTGGATACAATTCTGCAATCATTTGTTGAAGTGTTTTCCTACTCCCATCATTATTCTTAGGACTAACAAGACGTTGGCTGCATGTTCCATCATCAGAGTATAGTTTAATAGGAATGTGTTTGAAACCTTCACTGTCTCCATGGGATTCCATCAATCGTCTATTTATAGCCCAAAATTGATCAAATTTATCTGCAATAAAAAACAATATTTAAAATCTGCTAAATCAAAATATTTTTTTACATATACCATGAAAAGCAAGAAGTTAAGTTGGTAGTGTGTTACTGGTTTTTTTCTTTGTAATAGAATATTTGATTTTATGAATGGCATGTAATCTATATAATTATATAAAAGAAAGTTGTGTTTGTTACACCACTTATAACTCAAGAAGAACGGCTGAACCGATTTAGCTGAAAATTGGCAGAGAGGTGGTTTAGAGCCAGGAGAAGGACATAGGACAGGATAGAGTAGGTAGAGTAGGTTAGGTAGAGTAGGGTAGGAAGAGTAGGGTAGGTGGATTAGGGTAGGTAGTCAAATGACGGGAGTGATGCCACGGGTAAGAGCTAGTATTAGTATAACCTTTCAATTGAGGTAATAAGATACATAGGTGAGTAAGGTAAAACAATAGGTGCAATGCGGGGTTTGATAAATTAAACATGATCATGTATACATATTTTCTTTTGATTCTTACCATTTTGTAAACCAAGCCATAATTGATTATGGTCTTTCTTTTGCATTGTAGACATGACTTGTCCTCTATGTTTTAAAACGTCAGCCTCTTTCACTGTTGACATAAAATGTGCTTCTACAACATCCCTGAAATCATTATAAAGCTCTTGAAAGTTTTTATTGATTTGACATTTATATTGTTTGATTTAAATATAAAATAGTTTATGAATTTGAGAAATTGTGTGTTGTTATTACTTGTTTGTACAATGAAGTAAGATGTCTTCTGGAAACTTCGTGAAGTGCACTGTAAGATGCCATGGCAATTGAGGGTCATTACCACAATAGAGATCATAGAGAAAACCTATAGGGTAATGCCATTTGAGTGGCTGACCATTATAATCCAACCACATTTCACTATCAGAATTTTCTTGGGAAATGTATCGCAGAAAGTGTCTTTTCATCTGAAAGAGTAGAGGAAATTGTAAGTTTGTAACTAAGTTACTGTAAATATTGAGTATCAAATGGGATCAATCAATGTATTCAACCCACCTTGTCTGTAACAAGAGGAAAGTAACTCAGTCTTGGGACCATGACATAAAAAGCATCAGGTTGTTGTATTTCCATTATTTCTTCTTGAGCTAACTGAAAACAAATCGGCAACTTTCCGTCCCATATTTCACGAAGAACCTCTCGATCGTTAGCCATTAAGATTCTGGTTGTTAATTCTGAAAACGCACAATTTTACCCAGAAGATTATGCAAATTTCAAAAAGTAAGGAAAAAACAATACACTGTACACTAAAAATATTTTTTATAATAAATTGATAACAAAGGGAGGCGCAAAGAGAATATACAAACAATATATAGGAAGCGAAACTCGAAACGATAACCAAATTTTGACATTTGAATGATTGACTTTGATTTTGACAATTCACAACAATGACAGTAGACAGTAGGTACACAGATTACATACGTTTATGATCCCACAGTCTTAAATGTCCAAATCTATCTATACCTATATAAAAGAATGGATCGCAAAATATGTTGGTAAGCGCATAACTCAACAACGCCTGGCTGGACCAATTTTGCTAATTCTTTTTTTGTAATGTTTGTTATTGTCGGGAGAGGGTTCTTATCAAAGTAAATATAAGAAAGGAGAGGAGAAAATTGGGAAAAAGTGACCCTTTGATTTGTTGGACCCGTGCGAAGTGGGGGAGGGCCGCTAGTATGTTATAAAACACAGGTTCTAATAATAAGGTCTCAGACTATTGTTACTGTATAATCTCTGGAGTAGGGGTAAATCTAAATTGATACTACTGTTTACTACTAACTACTACTTTGAATGCAAAAAGTAATTTGTAATGAACGTACTCTACCAACATTATAATCTTACGAAAACTACGCAGGGTCGGCAGGGTGAGTTTAGTTAATGCTTTATGTTTGAGTCTTGACGTCAATCCAAAGCACGGAGGAGTTAATACTTACTACATCTATGGTCTAAGATCCAAAGAGTAAGAAGTCTAAGGAATATTGTCTCTGTGTGTGTGTTGGTGTTGTCAAATGTTGTTGTCAATTTATAAACACGTGCGTTCACCTGGTGTTGAACTCTACATTGGAAGTTATATTTCAATAGGCTATTTATTGTGTTTGTTATAATATTTGTCAAGAATGGGAAAGAAAAGGAAAGTTGCGACCAATGACGAATTTGAATTCGACCCTATACCGAGACATTTAGTAACTAAACATATAAAAAAGCAAGAAAAACGACTTATTATTGTTTTAGAAAATTCACAAATTGAAACAGTTAAGGTACAGTGATCACTATATGTTTCAATTTATCTGTTAAAAATAAAAAAAAATACACTTGCTAATCATGTAGTTGTATTTGTTTTCAGACTGGCAACAGTTTTGAATTGTTGAACTGTGATGATCATGCAAATATTTTAAGGAAGAATAACAGAGACCCTGGATCATGCAGGCCAGACATAACTCATCAATCACTTCTTATGTTAATGGATTCTCCACTGAATAGAGCCGGCCTGTTGCAAGTCTATATTCACACAGAGAAAAATGTCCTCATTGAAATTAACCCACAAACTAGAATACCTCGTACTTTTAAACGATTTGCGGGTTTAATGGGTAAGCTAATATAAAATATATGTCTGATATAATATTTGGTACCATTCTTTTAAACTTATTATCATACTTGATTGTCATTTCTTTTTACAGTTCAACTTCTACATAAATTCGCAATTAGAGCGTCAGATGGTCCAATGAAGCTGCTTAAAGTTATTAAAAATCCTGTCACATCACATTTACCAGTTGGTGCAAGAAAAGTGACAATGTCCTTTAGTTCTACAGTTGTGAAAAACTGTAGAGAATTAGTACCAAAGGATGAACCAATTGTAATAGTTATTGGAGCTATGGCTCATGGTAAAGTAGAAGTAGACTATTCCGAAGATGTTATATCAATAAGTAACTATCCATTGTCAGCGGCTTTGACTTGTGCTAAACTATGTACAGCCTTTGAGGAAGTTTGGGATGTTGTGTAAATAAACAGTACAGTAAACTTATTGTTTTCATTTTATTTTCTTAATTATTTAAAATAGTGAAATATAACACAAATGTTTTCTTCATAATTTATCACATTTTTTGTGATTCCTTCTATAGTTAAACATTTTGTAATTTTTGAAGTTTTTTTAAAATAACTTTGCCCCACTCTATTTTCTCCTGTGTCTCGGGTGCGGTTACAAACATACAATTTCACATACATACACATTACACCCAGACCTGGAACAACAATTTGTGGGTAACACAAACAGTTGTTCCTTGTGGGAATCGAACCCGCGACACAGAACGTTGTACGGCAGCCAGTTGCCCAGCCACCACATCAACCGTATCAGTACGTATATAAAAAATGTACTCTGTGCCAACTGTGCAGTCAAAAAACCACGCAAAAAACTAACAATACCCCGGCCGGTAAAGTAGTATAGCGCCATCTATATTACGTCAAATAAAGATCTTTAATAGTTTCTCTATTCGCTAAAAGATGGCGATACAATGCAGCTACATAAAGATTTTTATGGGATTGGGATATTTTTCTTACCTAACATAAAGACTAATTTTTAGCTATGAACCGGCCAAAATGGAGTTCAATTCCATTAAATACTTTTACTTATCCTAACAAAAAAAAGAACTTAGCAGAGATGAATATAACTATTCAAAATTAAACTAGACATTTTATTTAGAAGGAACAGCCTATATGTGTGTAACAAGAATGTAATCCAGGGGATTTTGCGTGAAAGAGACAATCTTCCACCTATATAAATACTATTAGCAGAATTTGATTGTTTTTTGGTTCCTTTGTGCAAATGTTGCTAAGCCGGTACAGGGTCTCTAATTAATGTAACGCCTGTAATACCCTAAGTCACTTTTTGAGTGATGATATGATAGATTGACATCCACGTGTTACAGGTTACTTTGTTGTGATACTTAAATAAAAAAGGTTTACAAAAGATTATCCACATCACATCCATCCAGGAACCTTTCCAGTCAAGGCTTATTTCCAGGCCTCTTCATCGTCTCGTTCTTACAGTAACAGAATGACTAACCAATCTATCACTTTAATGACCGGGTACCTATCTATATTAAATTAAGTTATTGCTATCCGTGAAACCTAGTACCTACCTATAGTACTTGTAAAATCTAGATATCATCAATGGTACCTATATGGGAAAATGCGTTATGTTAATGCAATTAAAAAAATAAAGTATATACCTATAAGTATATATATACATAAATACTTTATAATCTATATTTTTTAATATTCGTCGATAAACTAGCATGATAAACTATAAGTATTACCTACATATTCTGTTGTTGTAAATTTCATTTTAATTTCCAATTACAACAATCGTCAATAATACCACAGAAAATTATTTTAAAACCATTCACATTCATATTCATCTACTTATTACAAATTAGGAAACTTATCTTCATCCCACGTGTTCGGCTATCCATGCTGGGGCTGCAAAAACTAGTTTCCCCAACAAAAACGGTAACGAAGTGGCATCCGTTAAATTTACAAATATGCGGGTTTGTCAAACCATATTGTATCTATTACGTATCTCTTGCACATCGTCACTTATTCCAATTTCCAGCTGAAGTTCCCTAAGAACGTTAAATATATTTTTTAAAGTTTATGTAAGTACTTAGATATCCTTTTCATCGCTCTATGCTACATATATAGCTATTTTTAGTTACGTGATAGATTAACGCGTAAGAAGGCATAGCACAGGGTTATGGCATTTCGTAGCTCATAAAGTAATTAATAGATTATAGGTAATACTAGATAATATACAAAATAAAAGAGAGGATTCTACGAGTTGCGGGCTTTCATAATTATTGGGTAAGATTAGTATTAACTATTTTGTTGCTCGGCAATAAACGATGCAGTTTTGGTACCTACCTACCTATTAATCTGCAATCAAGAGCCAAGGGACAAAGGTGCGTGAATAGGTTTTCTCATAACATCAATCTATTTTTTGTCGAGGTTTGATCCATAAATGAACTATCTTCAAAACTATCTCGATGGAATGCGAGGGCGGGGTGGGAGGCCGGGAACTATGGTATGCGTTCATAAGGTTTATTTCTTTTTTGGGAGAAACAAAAGTAAACCACCTCTGTATCATAAAACAAAGTTATATCGCATTACAACACTATTAATGCGATGTAACAAACAAATATCGAAGTCGTCTTGAGGGTAATTTATGCTAAGTTTTAACTATTATTTTAAAGTGAGCGCGTGCATAATTATTCGCATACACGTTATGCCAACATTGTGCATAGGTACTTCTTGTAAAAGGATAATGCTTGACATAAGTAATCGTGGCATGATGAAAGCGGTTGGCCAGTCGCCGCCGCTGTGCCGACTTGTGGGACTAGATTCTCGGCAACTTGCCTTATACGGCGTATGGTCTGACTCTGTGAGCCAATTAACTGCACAATAATGTAAACAACTACCTACTAGAATGTATACCTAAGTAGCTACTGGCAGGACATACCGATGAACTAATGTAACGCGTCATGAATAACACAAGGACTTGCATAGATACCATTATTGAGTACAGTTTATACTTAAGTAGGTAACTCAATACACTAGGAAGCCTCAACATGGGAATTTAGAGCAGTTCTGCAAACGCCTGCTTAGAATAAAATACGACGATTGTTAACATGCACAGTCAATAAAGCAATCTTCAACCTGGTCACTTGATGCAACCGGTACTTGATGGCAGAATAACAACTCTCAAAGATACCAAGATAAGTATTAGCTCATTTACGTGAGCAGCAGCACTATGAAAATTAGTTTTTTTTCATGTGGTATTTTTTGACCTATCCAAACTAATAATTATTATAAATGCGAAAATAACTCTGTCTGTCTGTCTATTTGTGTGAAATTTGGTACAGACATAGTTTAGAATTCGAAAAAAGGCATATATTTTTAAACCAAAAATCTGGCAGGACGTCATTACCTATTCCACGCGAACAAAGTCGCGGGCAAAAGCTAGTTTGTTATAACTTACAAAGTTGTAAGCACAAACTTACGTAGGTATGTGTAACTAAACTGCAAAGGTAACGACGTTCTATGAGCTTGCTTCACAAGGCCAAGCGTAATTTCTTAGAATTTGCCTATCATAATATTTTTATCAATTAATATACCAATCTATCCGTTGAATATAGGTACACATTTATATTATACAACTGATTTGATATTTTTATAAGGAAAACAAGTTAAACAATATGGTAGAGACCTATCTTTATAAATGGATCCGACGTTAGCATGTAGGTACTTAGTAAAAAACTAAAATGTATTTAAATCCCATGTTCAATAATTATGTTGTTTTGTTATTCTTGGTTCTTACACCGCTTAAAACCTTTATTAGGTAGGTACATCATTTCTATTTTTCTATAATTTCCACAAAAGATTAGCGGACTGAATTCAACCTGTTCCTAAATATTCGGTTTTTATATTCTACAAGGAGTATATTCCTAGGTTTATTCTGTATTCTGTAAGTTTATGACGTATCTGGAATGAGAACCTACAAAAGTAACTATATGAACTGCATATTTATAATTTACGAGTATGTAATGTATACTTGAGGTTAATAATAAAGTGTTCTGTATCAATAATAACCGCATAAGTATCTGATTACGCGGTTCCTTGAATTTGGTTGCTCATAAGCGAGTGGGTTGATAGATATACCTATGGTCATGTTACAATGTCATGTTTTAAAATTAGTACAATATGCTTTATTAAAATATTTTGTTTTTAATTATCCTTCATTCATATCTTAGGCAAATCCATTATGGACGTTAGAATTCAGCTTAAAAAATGTATCAAAGTTTAAGATTGTATCAACTTATGGAGTCAGTGCGTCTTAAGCCCCATCTGATCAAATTAGATGTATCTTTGATGTATGCTCGATATGATTGTTAGACACTCAAGGCACGTTGCCTCAAGGATGGAAGCCACAAGAAACGCCTAGCGACTCTAGTGATTTACGAGTACAAACAAGTGCAAATCTTGCATTATCATATTTTGAATGCATCTTTTGTTAGTATACTTTCATTCACTCGATTTTTTGCGCATTGGACGTTTCCTTTCTTTTTTTCTTTAAAGCCAACTGTAGTTTCATAATCTTAACTGCAGGGCCTTGCCAGACAAATGAGTTAGATAAGATTATTATTTGAGAAAAAACAACAATTAGATGAACAATAATGACACAAGATAAAATGTTCCGAAGGTAACTGTTAGGTAGGTCCAATCAATCTAATCATTATGTATGCATATGCTCAACATTTGGTGTGATAGGAACAGTGACAGGGTCTGGTAATTTTGTCTATTTGGGGCCTGTTTCACATTGTCTCAATAGCACCTACGTATCAGGCAAATATAGGCACTTATAGTTTATATGGCCCATTGATATGTAGTTCATCATCAAGTCTATCGTCATCATCAGTTAAGTCTATCGGGTACTTATATGAAGGTGGTTATCGCGTTGGGAAAAAATACTTTGATACTTATTACGAATTAGTTTGGCGGTTGGAGGTTGTTATGTCGCCGCTCAGTGTAAAACTTACTATAAGTCATGATCACATGACATTTCAAATCAATATATATTGTAGAAAGCACTTACATCTAATTATCGTTGAAAGTATTTGATTACGTATCTAAAATAATAGTCATAATCCGTATTGCATGAATTTTATAACTATTTATCCATGGGTATTGAGCATTGTAATGTATTTCTCACTAGGTATTAAATGTACCTACGTAGATATTCTACATTCCTGACGCATGAGAAAGATAAGTGCTAGTGTTATCAAGCGCAATCGACAGGAACAGAAAGGTATGCCAAGCATTTTTGCGTCATTCAATGGACGTCCTTCGTTGACTCGTTGATTCAGGCACGTAGCGTTTTATAGCCCTAGTTCTGATGCTGTGACGTGTGACGAAGGGACTGAATCACGTCGAGTGCGTTTTATGACATGTTTGTTCTTTTGTTT